GAGGACAGGCGTCTGCTGTTAAGGGTTAAGGTTGGGAGGGGTCAAAGCCCTTCCTGGGTTTGTCCTGTTCCCCTTGGCCACCTCTGGCAAGGGACAGGATGCGGGCTACTCCGTGTGCACCCTTGTGCCTCCGATCTTCTACTGTGGCTTTCTTTGCCTTTCCCCCTCTCTCCCCCCCCCACTTCCCCTTTTCTCTCCTGCAGGATCCAGGTAACCTCCATGAAAATAACTACCTCTTTTTTACGCCTCCTGGTTTATGCTGGGTTCCTCAAAACCGGAGAGGGTCAGGAACAGATCTACGATGGTAGGCATCAGGTTAAGGTTGGGAGGGGTCAAAACCCTTCCTGGATTTGTCCTGTTCCCCTTGGCCGCCTCTGGCAAGGGAGAGGATGCGGGCTGCTCGGTGTGCGCCCTTGTGCCTCCGATCTCCTACTGCGGCTTTCTTTGCCTTTTCCCCTCTCTCCCCCCCCCTTCCGCTTTTCTCTCCTGCAGGATCCAGGTAACCTCCATGAAAATAACTACCTCTTTTTTACGCCTCCTGGTTTATGCTGGGTTCCTCAAAACCGGAGAGGGTCAGGAACAGATCTACGAGTACCTGCAGGCCTAGTGCGCGACCTGGCCCAGAAGGGGGGGGGGAATATCCCATCCGAGTCAGCCGGTGCCGAACGGGGCCGGTTGCCTGGCTCAACTCCTGCCTAGACTTGACTGTGCGGCTTTGGGGTGTGGTTTTTCTTCATTTTATATTAATAAAATCCTTGGGGTGACAGTATTGAGAGACTGTCTTGTTCCGTATCCTCCACCTGCCCCTGAGAGAGAGAGAGACGCCTCTTTCCTATAGCAGGTGGAAGGGAGGGCTCCCGTGCCCTGTCCGCCCGGCCTGGGAATTTGTTCTCCCCTTTCGTCCCAAGGCTTCGAAGGCTGCCTTCCTGCAGAATGTCAGGTTGCAAAGAAAGAAATTAGTATTTTCTGAGAGACAAACATTGGGCACCCCCCTTTTAATGTTCACTTCCACTGGAAATAGAACACTCTCACTGGGTGGACATCCTAGTCGTGCAGAAGACCAGACACAGGACATGGGCTATGACGGTGTTAGCCATCTGTGACCAGCAGAAGCTTATAACGTGGCCCTGCCCAGGCTCACATTTTGCTGTTCTTCTTCCGCGTCATCCGTTATGCCTGGCTTAGGGCAACTGGGACTGCTGCCCGGTCCTGCTGCTCACATCCTTGCTCAGAGCTTCTGAATTAAAAGACTGTGGTTCCTTAGTGGAATTGCTCCGTCTCATAGTCTGTCATCATCTTGCCTCGTTGTCTTTTCCAGCAAGTTGTGCACAGAGTACAACAGCCCTGGTTTCATTATTTCTGCTGCTGCTCTTGCATTTCAACTTGAACCTTTCCCCACTATCTTTCTGGCAAACCAGGCTATTCATAAAGACCTCCATCAGCACTTTTACAAATAACGTTTCAGCCTCCCCGCCCCAGCCATCAACTTTCTTCACAGTTTTCTGAGAGCAATTGGAAATACCCTAGTATGGTATTTACTCTTTCCAGTGTAATAATATGTATAGCAGGGTAGAAATTGTGTTTAATGGGTCTACTCCTATTTAAACAGTCTCTCCACCTTGGAGAATCAATATGGACCTCATCTATTTACCCTTTCCCTGAAAATGAGCACCTAACCTGAAAATAAGCCCTAGTAGGATTTTTCAGGATACTCATCATAGAAGCCGTACTCCCAAAATAAGCCCCGGTTCAGTGAAACCCCTGCCGTCCACCCTAGTGCGGCCACCAGAAGATGCCATTAATATATTTGAATAAACAGATTGTTGTCCATGAAAAAAAAACCCTGAAAATAAGCCCTAATGCATTTTTGGTAGCAAAAATGTATATAAAACCCTGTCTTGTTTTGGGGGAAACATGGTACCGGGAGCAGATGTTCAGGTGGAAGAATGGGCCATTGATGCTCCTATATTTGGCTGAAGAGAGGGGGCAGGAGACGGGTGCCCATCTGTGGCCTGAATTTCTAGGGTGTAGCTTCAGTTATGTGTATGTGTGTCTTTTTTTTCCTTTAGCACACCAATTAGCATTTCATTTGTTTGGTGCCTTCCATTAAGTGAGTCTCGCTGCTCTTGGATGTGTGGGAAACATACGGCCATCCATGATGGGGGGAAAAACTGGTACATCACAATGTAAGGGGAAGAGATTTCCCCAATGCCACCCATATCAAAAAAGGGCGCAACAACGGCATGAGACGCTGGAATCGATGCATCGATCAGGCCGGGAACGCTGAAAGACGTTATGACGTCTAGACAGGATTCCCTAAAGGAGATCATTGCTTACTCACCAAGGAGAGAGGGCCTTGCCGTTTTGAGTCTGTTCAGGAAGTGGGTCTGGCCTGCGACAAGGTGTCCCTAATAAATCTTGTCTCTCCCATAGAGTGCAATTGGCCGGTCGCTCAGAAGTTTCCTCCCAGGAAATGCTTTCCAGGGTGAGACGTGTTCCCATCCGACCCAAAGTGGGAACAAAGGGCGAGGGAACAAAACTTTTCCACCTCATAAGCACAGAAAAAGCCTTCAAGCTTTCAGAACCTAGCAGGGCTGGGAGGGAAGGATCAGAGAAACACGGCTGTGGGGTATTTTTCTTTTTCTTTTGAGAGGTGGCCCCACAGAGGAAAACAGTACAACCCCCCTTCATTTTTGTGGGGGAGAGAATGTGTGATGCTCGCTTCGGGCACAGAGGTGTTTCCTCATGTACATGCCTGTATGCCTGTGGGCGCACACATACACTCATATACACAGACACTAAATAGGCAGTCCCAGAAAGAGGCAGATCAGTGACGATGAGACGGTCCTTTCTTTACAAAACTTTACCAGTTTATAAAAACAAAGCAAAACAGGAACACAAAAGGAGCCGAGCGAGAGAAAGGCTTTACAACTGGAGCAGAGGGTGGCTCAGCTGCTCCCCCCACAAAACCGGACGGGAGAAGAACCACCTAGAAATGAGCCGTGACACGATCGATCTCCAGTAAATCTTCCAGAATCTGAGGAGACAAAAAAAAAAAGTTATTCAGACCTTGGGAGGGAGAGGAGGCCAAAGAAGGAATGGAAGCTGAGCTTGTTCTGAGTGGCTAGATGAGGAGAGGGAAGGGTCCGGAAGCCCCCTCCTCTCCCCTTTCGGAAGAACGAGGGAATGGGGGCCTAGTGGGCTTCCAAGGGCGTCTCCTTCCCGGCCCTCCTCTTTTTCCCCCCCTAGAGACACCTCTTTCTGTGTTGCTTTGGCTGGACACGGGCCCCAGCCCAGAGATCCAGGGAGGGAGGGAAGTGGGAGCCTCCCCCATGGATCCAGTTTTCTCCCCCTGCCCCCCCCGTCTCCTCCGCTCACAATGTCCGGCGTGGTGCCGATCTTCTTGGCCAGCTCGCTGCGCTCCATGGTGCTGAGGTAAAGGTAACGGTTGAGCAGCTCCCCATCCAAGATGTTCCGGACGGCATTCTGCAAGATGCGCCGGTCCATGTGCAGCATCCTACAAAGAGCAGCAAGCGATGGGGTGAGTGGGCATCTCTGCCTCCCGCAAAGCACCCACCACAGTCCCCCCCAAAGGCATTGCCTTGTCTGCAAAACTCTATCTTGGGGGGTGGGGGAAGGCATGCGTGCAAGGAGAGGACCAGATGAAGTGGGCACAACCAAGGGAGAACCGCTTGGGCCCTGACCCCCCCCCGGCTTATCTCAGAAACGCAGACTTGGGGATTCTGCCACTGCAGACGCTGTGGCCAGACGAGGTCCCCAGAAAGGACAGAGAAGACTCGGGGAAGCACGGAGGCATCTCCGCTATCCATAGTCCGACCGGGGGCAGACGGTGCTTACAGGAATCAAGAGACGGTGGATGGCCCCCAATACCCCTTGGCCCTTTCTCTGGAGCAAGGCTGCACTCTTGGGGGGTGAGGGGGTACACCCAGGCTGACAAACACCCCCCAAGATGGGTCGGAGGGACTTTCTTCCCACCCAGGAGACCCGCTTCTTAAGGCCAGCCTCAGCAAAGCTCAATCAAAAGCTGGGCTACGTTTTCTCCAAGCTCCGGAGGCATCAGAAGAAACGCCAGCGCCTGCCAGATTGGGGGGGGGGGGATCCGTTCCAGACCCTCCTGTTTACCGGAAGGCCCGGGGGTTGAGACCCGCGTGGTGGGGCAGCATGGTGGTGAGGGCGTTCTGCAGCATCAGGAGGCGGCGGTAGGTCTTCTCCTGCATGGGCAGCAGCAACCCGATCCCACCGTCGAGCGTGGCTGAGGAGAGAAACCCCGGCCGGTCAAGAGGCGGCTTCCCTCCCAAGTCAAAAGGTTCCAGATCGCTCCTCAGAGTTCAGAGACACACATACACCCCGAGGCCCTTCGCCTCCCGCCCACCGGCTCATGTTGGCCCAGCATCTAATAGCAGAGTCTTCCTCCGGCATCTCAAAGGAGAAAGTCATTCAAGTGGGTATCAGATGCGAATTCCACCAATTAAAAAGGGAGCCTTCGAGACCCGCACATGCCTCTCTTTCTGTTGTGTTCGACCGCACTTTGCAGGATGGAATTCTGCCGACGGCAGGAGGAGCGTTCCATTTTTCCCTTCCCCAGTTTGGAAATTTCTTTGAAGCAGAAGGTTCACCTCCCCTCAACGGGGCTCCGGGGCTCTTTCCCCCTCCCTGCCCACAGCTGCCCCCCACGCTCTCGGGCACCGCAGCCACTCCACTGACCAAACCAGGTGATGTGCTTGTTCTCCCAGGCGCCGGATTTCTTGATTGTCCCGTCTGCGGCTCCCCGGCACGGCGTCCTCCAGAAAGTGTTGACGTGGGCACCCACGTGGAAGTCGGCTCGTCGAAGCAGACGCATCCCGCCAAAACTCTCCTTGGCTGGAGAAAAAAAGGGAAAAGACGGTTTGTGGGGAAGGACAGCAAGATGGCAGGAGCGCAGAACGAAACAGGGCTTCGGGAGGGCAGCCTCTGGCCCCAACCACTCACGACAAAAGCATCGCGGCCCTTGGCAGGTTGGAAGCCTGGGGTACTCCCTGCCCCATGAACACCAGCTCGGCCATCCGAGGCACCTTTCTAATGGATTCTCGACGATCAGGAGGTGGGGGCACAACCAGGGAGGTTCACAGTGAGCAGGGGAAAAAAGGAAAGCTGATCACCAAAGCCGTCCCAAAGACCTTTGCTCTTACCTTCTGGCAGATACATGTAGACGATGAGGTTTCGGTCCCTGTCAGAAACTGCAAAAAAAAGAGAGAGAAAACAGGACCACAAGTCATCCAAACTCTCTCTCTCTCTCCTTGTGCCTGGACAGTGGTAGAACCACAGCATGTGGGTCTTCCTTTTAGGGCCTAAGGAGACACGAGGCAGAAAGTGCGTGGACACGTGGCTAGCCTCAGATCACCTCCAGCTGCCCCCTTTTGCCCACTCAACAAGAACTTATGGGCTTCAAGAGAGAGAAGTGGCTGGAGGGCTTGTGAAAGGGGCAGACCCATGTCCTGGGGGGGGAGAGGAGCAGGAGGCTCCTTTTCAGCCACCCCACCCAGTGCAATGGACTGGGGCTGTGCTGGTTTCATCTTCAGTCTGGACCTCCAGGTGGCAAGGCTGCCTGAATTTCGGTTTCAGGGGAGAGGCGAGGATATATTTTCTCTCCCCCCCCCACGTCCTGCCTGCCAGAAGGCAGCCCGCCTTCTACGCCAAAGCCATCAAACAGTTTGCCTGTTTACACAAGTGAGACGAGGCCCGATGGCAGACCTTGGGGCGGCACAGATGCCGTGGGCCTTCCCACTGAACGATGGTTTATTCCAGCTCCTTGCCTCTGCCCAGCAGACATGAGGGTCCCTGGGCTGGATTAAACCTTTTAAAAAGCTGGGTTCCTTTGTTAAGAGAAAGAAGGAGAGGCCGCTCAGGCCAGGTCTGTCGTCGAAACCACCTGGGCAAATGTCAGCGAAGCCCCTCCGGGGCCTTTTGGGGAGAGCAGTGTTCACAACCACCCCAGCAGGGACCTCTCAGTGGGTTTTTCACCCGCAAGCCCATGAATGCGTTAAACTGAAGCAGGAACGACAGAACTTTGAGCCCCCCATGGGATCTCGGCCTCCTCAAAGCACTCCCTCTCTTGGCCCTTCTTCCGGCACACCAGGCCCAGCTGACTGGGGGCTGTTTAAACCCCTTCCGCCATCACTCCCACTAGCTGCCTGCGCGGCAGGGAAGTGGTTTAGGCTCACTGGAAGGACAGGATCAGAACATATGTGGTTTAAAACACGGGGAGCCTTTCCAGCACAAAGGTTGCCCGCAGTCCACGTCACGGTGCAGAGCAATGACCCTCGGGCCACCCACCCAGGAATCCCAGCTGCGAATTGTCCACCATGAAGTCCACGCTGTAAACTTCCAAAGGCTTGGCATCCTGGGGAGATGAGAGGGGGAGAGAGAGAGAGAGAGGTCAGCATGGTGGGGCCCGACTCATGCCAGCCCCTCCTCCGCCTGCAAAAAGGGGGGCCCCGCTCCGCACCCGGCTGACAAGCGACAGGGTCTTGCTCTCCTCCTGGTAACGCAGCAGCGAGATGCTCTTCATGACGTCGGCCGCCAGGATGAAGTTCTTGACGCTGATCATCTGGTGGATGTAGAGCTGCGTGTCGATGAAGGCCATGCCCGTCAGATCATTGTCCTTCAGGCTCCAGAGAAAGATCTGCAGCAGAGGAAGACCCGGCGGCTCAGGCAGGGAGGTGGGCATGGGCTGGGGGGGGAAACTGTCTCGGTCCCTCCCAAGTCCCTCCTCTTTTTCAAAGCATCCCACCCACCCCAGGCGTCCTCTCCCGTCTCCCCCTTCCAGCCTCTCTTGTGTAAGTCTTGCTTCCTCCAGCTTTTCCACCTTCCCTCCCTCCTTAGGCTCTGAAGGAAGAGCAGCCTCTTGCGTTTTCGGTTTTGTCCTTTTGGCCTCCGTAGCTGGAGAAGGGGCCCCTCTGGTTCGCTCACTCTTGTTAGTGCTGCGCAGGAGGTGGTGGTGTTAAAAAGACCTGCTGAACCTTCCTTACCAGGAAAATCCCGCAATGAGTGATACAGGTCCCACGACCACCACCACGGAGGAGTCTCCGTCCAGCCCCCTGGCCTCTTGCTTTGCTTCCCGGCTGCTCCAGCTCTCCCGCAAGCATCCCAGTTTCACAAACTGGCAGTTCACACACACACACATCCACACCCAGAGATGCACATAAACCGGCACCTCGCCATCAAACCACCTCTTGTTCTGGTGCACATAACCCGCACCTCGCCATCAAACCACCTCTTGTTCTCAACCCATCTCCTTCACTTTACAAGTCTTTTCGGCCGTCGGCCACGGAAAGCACCCTGTAGAGCTGAGGCTTCTGCCCCTCCCGGCTGTTCTTCCCAGCCTGTTCAGGGCAAAGGGAAGGCGCGGCAACGCCTCCGAGGCCCAAAGCAAGACCGTTCGGACCCTCCAAACTCTTCTCCTAGCACTCCGGGTTAGGAGTGCCTTTGGCCTCTTTTTATCAAGGGTCACCCTCTCTGCCACGATGCCCCGTTTCCCTCTGCCATGATCCCAGCTCTTGGTCCACCTTAACAAAGAAGTTCTACAAGCAGTAGATGTAGTTTTAAATGTACTAAAATGTGAGAAACTGGAGGGCCGGGGTTAAAAACCACGATCCCCTCGAGAGACGCGTCCTGCCTCACTTCCCTCTTCCCATCTCCTATAGCGGCTTCTAGGCTGTAAATTCAGAATCCCCCCTCCTCCCAATGCACTGGATTTCCTGTCCTCGGCCAAAGCAGAAGCAAACCATCCCGGAGAGATTTGCCCACTCCTCGCTGTTCGCCAGCACCCCTTCCTCCTCCTCCTCCTCCTCCTCCTCCGGCTCGCCTTCTGGCCGATGGCCGACACGAGGTAGCCGTTGCAGTGGCACAAGGCGGTCACGGGGCCCTTCTGCTCTTTCTCGTACAGCACCTTGAACTTGTTCTTGGTGAGCGGCTGCCCGGGCTCAGGGACCACCTCGATGATGTCCATGATCAAGATCTGCAAGGGGGCCAGACCGCCGGTGAGGACGGGGCGGAAAGGGTTCGTTCTTGAGGCGCTGGGGCAGACCTATGGCCGTAAGTCAACCCAACCGCCAAACTAGGGTTCCAGAGAGCGCTACAGGGGTCAGGCAGGTGGAACGGGACTCAGAAGACCTGAGTGCGAATCCTCTCCCCCCACTGGGCCATGGAAAGTCCTGGTGACCTTGGGCGGACCACACTCATCCTCAGCCAACCTGACTGACCAAGAGGGCTGCTGTGAGGATAAAGTGAAGAGGAGGAGAGCCATGTCGTTCTCCCCCCCCCCCGAGATCACCAGAAGCAAAATAAGATGATCACGGTCCAGATATATACATCCACACAAAATAGGAATAAAACCATAGAGAGACCAAGTCCCTCTGGAGGATACAAAGCGTGGGGAGTCTGGAACACTTCCAAAGCACAACACAGACACTCTGGGGGAGCGGGTATCCCCCCCTCACATCCCCACCCCCACAGACCGCCTTCTTCAATGGTGGCTAAGAGACGGGATCCCAGTTCTGAACTCATCCACCATGGTTTCCCTCCAGCCAGGAGCTCTCTGGAAGCCTCTGTCCGAATGGATCCGAGGCCAGAACGCACACCAGACCCTCTGCAGAGGACAAGACAGCCCCCCCCCCGTTTTCCTAAGGTCTGCTGGCTGTCCCTGGACATCCATGGTTCAAGGGACACACTAGGCAGCCTCCACCTGCCCCCAAGGCAGCCAGGGAACACCCCCCCCCGACCAGGTCTGCTGCACCCCAAGCGTGGGCTCCCCCAAAGGAGACATTTCTCCCCTTGAAAGGGGAGAACTGCAGATGATGCGGGGAGCGGACAGCACCTGTTTTGGTATTAAACAGGTGGATGCAGGAGTAATCCACCTTTTCTCCTGCACTCAAATTAGGAGGTGGGAGGCTGCAGGGGGGAGGGCGCTCCAAGGTGGCTTGAGAAGGAGGCAGAGGCATCAAGGGCTGTGGGGGTAAAAACGGGAGACCAGCAGCCACAGATGGCAAGCACAAGACGGATAAAAGCATCCGGCTAGAAAGCAAAGCTTGAGAAACTAGGAAGCCCCCCCCGGGGGGGGGACATTGGCAGCTTCCCCTGACCCCAAGGGCCAAAGACACGGTAGGTCTGCCTCCTGCCTTCGAGCGAGGAAGCTGGAGGCCTGACTGGGACCTGTCCCTCGTGGGGGGGGGGCGAGGCTGTGAAGGCCACAGGCGGCTTGGCAGGGCCACTGAACCCCGAAGGTCTGGAGGCAGGGAGAGCGAGGCAGAAAAGCAAGCAAGGGCCCCCCAAGCTCCACCCCTGAACTCACCCGGCCCCGGCAGGTCACCTCCTCGCCCTGCATGAGGCAAGTCCCCAGGGCAATGTAGCCCTTCAGGCCCGAGACCGTCTCCTCGCTCTTGAGAGACACCGTCTTCATGCAGGTCACGTGCTCCCACTCCTCCAGGTCTATCCTGCAGGTCCAAAGCGGGTGGTGGGGCAGTGGGAGAGAAGGGAGTGAGGGGGGCACCCTTCCCTGCTCCCCCCACCTGCATTTGGGCCCCAATGGCCCTTCCCGACCTGTGGGTCTCCTCCAGCGTCAGGCTCTGCCCGGGTCCTTCGCCAGGAAGCTTGGCCCGGTGGCAGCCCTCGTCCACGGCCAGCCTTCCCCGCCTTCCTTCTGAAAAGGGGTGGGGGTGGGGATGTGACCACTGGGCAGCGCTTCCAGGAGACCCTCCCACCCGCCACCTTCCCCAGCTCACCTGGTGTTTGGGATGGTCTCCCAGCTGACGGGAGAGATCAGCTGGATGGAAAAGGCCTCCTGCAAGGGGTAGATGTAGCGATCGTCTGGAAGGAGCCGGCAGGGCATCCGAAGAGAGAGAAAGAGGGAAGGAGAGAGACCGGTCATCAGGGCTCCTTTGGCCGGGCAGAGGCTTCAATCAATAAACAACTCCAATCAAAACTTAAAACATAAAGAAATAAATCCAACTTCTCTTGGGGAGCAGAGGATGCAAAGGACCCTCCTTCTGCCACAGACTCTGGAAAGCCGTTGCTGGCTGGAGGGTGGGCTGAGCTTCAGGCAGCTCCTGGCTGGTGAGCCCCCCTCCTCGGGAAGCCAAAGGCCTCCCAGCCCAGCAGAAGTCCCCCACACACACCTGCCAGCCCGGTTCCTGGCAGCCCCTCCGGGCCCAGCGCACAGGTGGGGGGGCCCACAAGGGGCTCTCTAAGCCAAAAGGCCTCCTTGGGCTGGGAGCCGGCCCGAGACAGGTTCCGTTTACGGCGAGGTGAGAGGACCGGCCAAGGAATGCAGGCAAAGCCTTCCGGAGGGGGAGGAGAAGCCAAGCACACCCACCTCGCTCAATGGTCTCAAACTCCTTCTCCTCTCCTGTCATGCGAGGGATCCGGGTGCAAAGGTTGTTGAGGCTGGTGGCCACCGCGTAGACCTGCCGGGCGGAAGGGGACGCCTTTAGGCACGGTCCGGGGCAGCCCGGAGCCCCTCCTCTCCAGGACTCCCTTTTGAGGGTTTGAAAAACGCTCCCCGATCTCCCCTCCGTTGTCTGGTCTCCAGGCTAAACCTTCCCGGTTCTTACAGCCTTTCCTCATCAGGATTAGTTTCCAGCCCCCTGAGCCTCCTTGTCGCCCTCTTCTGAACTTGTTTCAATTTGTCGGCATCCTTCTTGAAGTGAGGCGTCCAGAACCGGACACAAGACTCAAGAGGAGACCTAACCCATGCCAAATGGAGGGGGAACTAGCAGCTGGCAGGATCAATTCTGTTCATGTCTCCTGGAATTGCACGGGCCTTTTTTGCAGCCACGGCTCATACGCCACTTCCTCCCTCCCTTCCCACAAAGGACACGCGTGGCCCCCTCGGAGCTTGCCCTTTCCCGCAACCCTCGGACTGACCTTGGACTCAACGTGGTAGGCCACGTAGTGGGCGGTGCAGCGGAGTGGAATCTTCCGGACTGGCCACGGGGCGTCGTACGAAAGGTAGGCGGGCAGGACGCTGATGCGCAGCTCCCCCTGCCGGGACAGAAGGGAAGGCACTGCCTCACCATCATCGGGTCCTCCCACACACACCCTCCAGCCGCTGCGCTCCGAGGGCCCCCCATTCGAGGCCCCAAAGGAGGAGGTGGGGGACGCCAAGGGGGCGAGGCGGGTCCCACATGCTGGACGTACCTGCCGGTTGAAGTAGAGGAAGCCCTTGGGGCAGTTGACGTTGTGGAAGGGGGCAAAGGACTCGATGGGCCCGTCAAGGGTCATGGGGTGAAGGCGCAGGGCCCCCCGAGAGGTCACCAGCAGCCAGTGGGGAGAAGGCCCACAGATGAACACCTGGGAAGCAAAAAAAACAGGTGCTGCATCCGGGAGGAAGCCGTGGCCCTCCAGCTCAGCTCTAACTGGCAGCCCTTGGCCAGGGGCACCGGCGAAGGAGGGTCCTTTCCACCCCCATGCAAAGCCATCTAACAAGAGGGGCCAGGTGCTCTCCAGCGGGCTGAGCCCCAATCCTGCCCTCAACCCCTCCCCCAAAGAGACCAGATCCCACACAAGAACCCTTCCACGTTGACCGGGCTCACCATAAACCCCAGCACGACTCACCCCAGAGTAACCATAGATGTCTTCAAAGAAGCGGAAGCGGGCCACCCGCCCCCGGGCCGCCCCCGAGTCCTCCCCACCGGCCCCGTCGGGCTTCTTCTTGGACGGACGGGGCTTCTTCTCCCGGAAGTTAATGTTATGTGGGACCTGGTCGGAAGGGGGGGAAAGGCAACAGAGGGTGACCGGCCCGCAGGAATTGGCCAGGGCGGCCAGCCAAGCGAGAGAAGCGACTGCATGGCGCTTACCTTCTTAAAGCGAACTTTGAGGTTGGTCTGGCCCAGTTGGGAGTCGTGATTGAAGGCCTCGTAGATGAGCAGCTCCTGATCCACGTGGACCTGCCAGCCAGAGAGGAAAGGACGCCTGAACCTCCTCCACCTTTGGCTCTGGGTTCAAGGGGCGACTAGAAGGGCGATGTAATGACTGCAAAGCCACAGTCACCCCTTCCACCCCCCCAAAAAACTGTGGAACAGTGGAAGAACCACCCCCACCTACGTAGGAAACTGCTCAGTGGCCCTCGGCCGTCCCTAATTAAAAAGGGCCCTTCTGATCCGCCGGCTCAGGTCACAGTCACCAATAAGAGTGCGCGCGCACGCACGCACACGCACGCACACACACCTCTTCCCCCAGGCTATTTGGCCTTTTACAAACTTACAGCCTCCCTTTTAAAAAGTCTTTTTACAAAAGCAATCATTACAAACCATAAAAGTATCAGTAGAAATACTGTAACTTTTTACAGGGGTAAAAAACAAACAAAAAGAACAGCACAGCAAAATGGGAAAATCTGATCAGCATATATATATATATATGTATATATAAATATATATATAAATACAAAGCCAACTGTAAACAGTCATCTAGAACAAATCTAGACATTCCAAGTGTGTTTACAAGCACCAACATAAAGATTTTTCTCAGACTCTGCTGCGAAAGATCTTTACAATCTCTGCTTGAAGGAAGAGAGCAGAGGCTGCGGCGAACGTCTTGAATGTTCAAGGCACCCTTCTTGAATCTCTGAAATGTTGCCCTGTTTAAAGATCAAGTGCAGCAACTTTAAACTGCCCCCCTTTCAAGCCTGGGCCCAACGGGCAAGGAATCCATGCCTGGGTTTAAAAGCAACCGGCCCCGAGCAGACCAGCCTGCGCGGGTCCTCCAGCGGTTCCAGAAGCCGCCGGTCCCACCACTGGCAGGAAGGCCGCGGCAAAGCCTCTTAAAAGCCCAGCGGCTCAAACACTGATGACCGATTCACAGCGCCTGGAGCTGAACTCTTTTGCTTGTGGGTGGAACTCCCTATGGAGGTGGGATCCCATGTTGCATTCAGGCACGGCCGGACAAGAGTCATCCCCAGAAGGGCACTGGAGGGGAAGCCAACTTCATCAAGGGTCTGGCGGCTCTCGAAAAAGCCAAGCAATGGATTGTGGTGCTCAGGTGGAATGGACTCAGGTGGCTCTCTTTTCCTGCCTCCAGGCGATCACACGGATGCCTAGGATCAGCTGTGCTATACAGAGACCGAGAATGGTTGAACACACCCCACCACCCCCATGTTCGGTCCTGAGTAAACACACATGAAATTCAGGTGTCTACCTGATCAGAACTGTCCAAAGTGCAAAGACTTTCCCCTGGCCTAGATGTTCCTAGGGCTCCCGAGACCCTTCCCCAGGCCAGAAAAAAAAAAGGGGGGCGTTTCCCATCCCTGGCCCCAAAGCCTCACCAGGTCAAAGAGACTTAATGAGAGGCCTCCAACGAGGCTCCAGCTGGTCAGATTCTTCTATATGCTTAACGGGGGGAGGGAGATCAGAGGAGCCCCTCCAAGCTCACCAACAGGTACGGACGGCTCTGCCGATTCCCCAGGGCCACCAGCAGCACCTCCTTGACCAGCGGCATCTCCGTCTGACGGATCACCTCCTCCTTCTTGGCCTCAGCCTGGCTGGCCGGCTGGCCGAAAGAGCTGTCCACCAGCACCCGCTGCCCCATGGGGAAATTCTTCACCAGGAAAACCAGGCGCCACTCCGGCAACTGGTAGATCTGCAGGAAAGAGATGAGGAAGCCCGTCGCGACCCTTGTGAGCAACCGGAGTGGGAGAGTGACCAGCTTCCTCCCCTCCCCTCCCCTCCCCTCCAAAAAGGGGACGACCAGGACTCACTTCCATGGTGCCGTTCTCCCGCACCAGCACACACCAGTGAGTGGGTTCGGATTTGTACTGGTGGGGGTCTCTGTCCGCCGAAGGCAGGCTGGACCGGCGGGGCTCCTCCTTGGTGGGGCTGAAGAGGGCACTGGAATCCCCGTACAGCATTTCCTCCTCGTCGTCCACGGTGTTGCTGCGCCAGGTGGGAAAGAGGAGTGAGGGAAAGAGCCGAGGGAAGCCCCCTTACCCTGGGAGCCTGGACACAGAGGTCCCTCTGGCACATTTACGGCTCAGACGGCCTGGACCGGCCACTGAGGGCACTCCAGAATTTCATACAAAATTCCTCCAGAACTTTTTTTTTTAGGATCTCTCTCCCGGAGGCTAACTGGGCTGGACCCTCTCCTGAGATCCAAATTCTGGGGGCAGGGACAGGGGCAGGATCCGGAGCACTCTGGTGGCCGAAGGAACAGAGGCTCCTTGAAGGCCTGGGCGGGTGGGGACTTCGCTGCTCACCTTCTGCAACCCCCTCCCCAAAATCCCACTCATGGCCGGTCCCGGGGCTGGTTTGAAAGCCTTCCCGTTTGTGTGGTTACTGCTCAGGGAAAGGCTTCTGTGGTCCGATTCCTTCTAGGCTCTGGGTGGGGTAAGATCCTTTTCTCCAGATGATCTCTTCACCACCACAGGCCCGCATTCCTCCCTTCCAGCATGGAAGAGGACGGGAGGCGGGTCTCCTTCTTCCCCCTTCCACCCCATTTCTTAAGTCCACCCCCACCCTGCCTTCTGTGGGAAGCGTCATCATCATTCCCCCATCTCAGCCTCACCTGATGTCCTGGATGGGCACCTCTGACTCTGACTGGCTCCTCAGGGACAGCTCGTCTCGGGAGCTGGAGGAATGGCTCTCCGTGGTGAACATCCCACTGACGTCCCGGTAGACGCACAGAGCGATGACCTTGGATTGCTGAGGGTGAGGGGGGGAGACAAACCAGAGGCCTCACTGGGAGAGACCAGGCTGGGGTGTTTCAGCTGCCCCCCCACGCCCCAGGGCATGCCTCAAACCCAATGAGGGGAAAAATGGAAGTGGTCCTTTGGTCCACTCTGCTTCACCAGCACCGGCACCCCAAAACCCAAGGCTGGGTCCTCCTGAAACCTTCCGGGGGGGGGGCTGATTCAGAGACCGCAACAAGCTATGCCGGCCAAGTAAAAGTGACCCTCCCTCACCCAGATTTATCTTGTTTGTATCATAAGGGGAGGAGGAGGCCCTTGGGAAGGATTCCTGTGCCACCCCCACCAGGAGTTGTCTTTCCAGATGTGCTCTGATGAACATCTGCATCTTTGCCAGATGTTTGGGAGTACGCCACACAATGGAGATGCCAAGCCTTTGGCAGAAGAAAAAGAACGTTTCGGCGGCCCGGGGCTGATTCCTGGATGGACGCTCCTCCCTTCTCAGAGACACCCCCTCGCCCACCCGCCCGCCGCGGCCACGCTTCAGGCCCAGAGCCACGACTCACGTGGTGCAGCTGGGGCTTCTGCAGAGTGAGGCGGTGCGTCCGGCCCCCGTAGGTGTCGCTCTTCAGCACAAACATGGTGACCTGCCCCTCGGAGCTCATGATCACCACGTAGGGGTCGGCCACGGCGCACTGGACGATGGGTGACCCGAGGTCGACGGGGATGAAGTGCAGCTGGTTCACTGTGGGGCAGAACCGCGGCTGGCTGAGAGACAGGCTGACCCTCCAGGGCAAGTCCTGGGACTTCCCAAATCAGAACTTTCCCCCAAACTCTGCAACACCACCAACGGGTGAAGGAGAGTCCTTCCATGGGCCCACATCCAGGCCACCCCACCTCTCTCTCTCTCAGTCACTCGGAAGGGCCATCTTTGCAGCCCAGAGGGATAAAGCCGGGTCACACCCACCTCCCTCCAGCAGCCGGATGCCCAGGGGGGACACCTGGACGATGTAGCGGTTCTCGCCAATGTTGCCAGCATACACCGTGGGGCCCTGGGTGGCAAAGCCGCTCGTGTCCAGCTCCATGATCTCCTGGCCGGTCTGCAGGATCTGCGGAAGGAGGCAAAAAACACAGCAGGCGTGTGTGTGTGTGAACGTCGCCACAAACAGCAAAGACGAGGCAGGGCGGGAAGAAGGAAAATGTGTTCACCCTCAAGAGCTCCTTTGCAGGAGGGACTGCTCCTGCAGGCAAAACCGAGCAAGGACGGCCCACCCAAAAGAGAAAGAAAAAGGGGCCCCCGGACCGTTTTTTCCTACATCAGGCGAGCGGCTCTTCACACGACTGGATGTGGGAGAAAACCTGGAAGGAAGAACCTCCCTCCCTCCCTCCCCGATTCTGAGGGCCTAACAAATGCAAAAACCTGTGTTCGAGTCCCGATATATTCCAGCGTGTTAGCTCTAACTCAGGGAGACACACACACACACACCCAACACAGGGCCCGTTGCGCACACCCAGATGGCAGGCAAAGGACCCCAGGTGTCTTCTCTCTGTGCCGGGCATCGCCTCTCCCGCACAGTCGCTGGGCTGCTGGGGGAAGACGGCGCTTCCATTTATTTCCCAGAAGGGTTCCCTGGTCAGTCTTTTTGAAGAGCATCCCTACCCACCACGTGTCCGGGATGGGAAAAACACCTTGAGGTTCTAAAACTTCAAAGCCCAGGGAGCCAGGCGGGCCGATTTCTCTTCTCCATCCCGAGGCAGGACCCCGCCCTGCCCCACTCCCCCGGCGTGGCTGCCGATTCCCCCACCGACACACCCCAGGACCAGCGCCGAGTCCTGGCTGTGGCAAGGCTTCCCGGGCCCCTTCAGCTCAGCCGCCGGACCTCCCGGCGCTCACCATGGTGGAGTCCTCCCGGCTCAAGATGAGGAAGCCGTGCCGCTTGCCGTCGTCCACGGGCTCCGGCGGAGGGGGCTCCTTCTCCGTGGCTTCCCCTTGAGCTGTTTCTTCCTCCTGCTGGAAAGAGAGAAGAGGCCTCGTTTCAGCCCTGAGTCATGTGGGGCTTCTGGGGAGCCAGGGACGGATCCAGTCGGAGGCCATAAGGGCAGCCAGGAGGGGGTCTTCCCATCACCCACATCCCCCCACCGCCTCCTGCAGGCGCAGCATGGAAGGAACCTCAGCTCTCCAAGAAGGAGCCTCGCTGGCTTTCAAAGAAGACGGAGATTCCCAGAAGAGGAAGCAGGAGGAACAGGAAGGGACCGGTCAACCGGCGGCAGCAGATAGGCAGGCAGGACTGCCCAAGGGGACCACCAGATGGCCAGCGTTCCTCCGACTTCAGCTGCTGGGAAGCAAACGGCCTTCGGATCTGGCTTCTGAGGTTCCCACTCGGGCATCTGGTTGGCCACTAAGAAAACAGGCTGGACCCCTGGAACACCCCTCCCCCAGCTACTCCAGTTCCCAGACTCCTGTTTTGCTCGCTGACCGAGACAGGGGCACCCCTTCTCTACCCTTTCCTGCATGCTTGGCTCGAGGAGGAACAAAGAGCGAGGATTTAGGCTTGGGGAAGACACCCCCGCCTCTCGCGGGAGCTTGAGAAAAAGCTGCCCGAGGTCTCAAGAGCGTTCCAAGAGAGGCCCGGGCTGCGCTGTCTAGCGTGGGTTACGTCCATCTTCCCCCATTAGGTCCCCGAGAACAGGTAGGGGCGTCATGATGGGCAGTCCTTTCCCCCTTCCCCAGAACCACAGCCGCGGACTCGGAAAGGGTGGGAGAAGCAAGGGTCCCGTGTCTTGCTCCTGTGCCACTCGGGCCGAGAAGGAGCAGCCCCGCCAACAGGCAGCCCTCCCTGGCAGCTCCGGAGCCCCAAAAGACCCTGGGGAATTAGGTAGAGTAGTCACCTCTTCGTTCTTCTGGGGCGAGATGACGGTCCACATATCATAGCAGCCTGGAAGTTCGAAGGTCGTCACCACCTGCGGTCGGATGCTTTTCTGTCGGGGGGAGGGGGGGGGAAAGGCCAAATCAGGGCTCCTGCCCACACGGCAGATTTTCTGAGAATGGGGTCCCTTCTGCACAAGTAGAGCCCATAAATGAAGGCTTGTCTCCTTCTAAGAGGTAAAATGACATCCTCCCACTTGGAAACAAGGTCTTGCGATGATCTTATTAGGATTCCATCAAGGAATTCTGGCTAGCAGGGCCCAAGAAACCGGCCACTAGAAATCGGCTTGAGGTTAAGATCTGTACTAAGAAGCGCTCTGTTCCGGGACATGGACGGATCATTCCCTTGCAGAAATGTAACACACACCCCCCCCCTTTTGCTGCATTTATTATTGCGGTTCTGGCTGCAATGATCAGAAGGGTCAGCCAGCAGAGGGAAGCCAGGGTTGCAGCCCCCTCCCACTGCGCCCTTCACGGGCTTTTAGGCAAAACAGCCAGAAGGGCAGATTGACTGATGGATTCTTTATTTAAACATGCTGGACATTTCTCCTTAAAAGGACCCAAGGCAGCTTACATCATTATTACTATTTTAAAGGCAGCTGAGGTTCTGAGACCTTCATGGCGGACTCAGCTATAGTCAGGAAGACGGGGTGACCCCCTACTCCATTATAATCCTCAGGACCCATACATGCACAGCCCCACATCTAAGCACCCCCACCCCCGCTCTCGTGGACTTCAGTTGCTTTCCACAGGCTCTCACAGCCCATCGCTTCCCCCGACTCGGTGTGAGGGACTTATTTAAAAAAATCCAAGCTGCTCCAACGGCACAAGGCCAGGATCTGCCCGCATGGTGAATATTTGTCGGACCTCCTTTTTCTCCTCCCCGAGGCTGAGGGGTAACCCTCAGCTAAGAACAAAACAAAAGGATAGCAGGCTGAGAGAAAGAACGAGAGAGAAAAAGAGCATTTATTCTGGAGACGGAAAGAGTCAATGGCTTTGGCACAGAGCCTAGAACCGTGTGGTCTGACTGGCTGGATGCGCACGGGGCGAGCGACCCGAGCCGGCCTGCCCGAGAGACCCCCGGGAGAGAGAGAGAGAGAGCCCCGGGCGGCCCTTCTGCTCCCCTCCCGGGCCCCTGGTTCCTATGTGTTGATAGGCTGCGTCAACGATCTCAGGGGCAGGCCCGGGAAGTCTAGGCCCTGCTGTTGCTGCTGTGGCCCTTGTCCCGGACCGGCGCCAGATTCCCCTCGTCGGCACCAGCCTTCGCCCCGGGCGTCCCTTACCCGCCCCATCCCTCACAGCACCCTGCCCACTCACCTGCAGGACGGAGAGAGCTCCATTCTTCCCGTAGCCCGAGCAAACCACAATCTCCAGGTCGGGCTCAGGGCTGTTCTGGAACTGAACAGGAGAGAAGAAGAGAGAAGGATGACTGCCCATGTCAGGCGCTCGCTCAGGCCACACTTGCGGCTTCTGCCAAGCCAGTCCCTTCATGTCCTCCCAAAAGCCCCCAACCAGTCCCCCTCCAGCCCTGCCTAAAAGGCTCAAACACACACGAGCTGCTCCCCCTCCGCTCTTTCTCTCTTCCTCTGTACAGACACTTGAGCGTGGCTCGTGCACCACCAAGCTTCCACGGGGGGACACGGGTCCACCTCTTCCTCCTGCACCCACAAGGAGTCACCGGAAAGAGGAGCTGCCAGGCAAGGGGCGTGGGGGGCACGATCCGCACACGTACCTCCTCAGAAAGGAAGGCAGGCTCCCCCATGGCCGCATTGGCACAGGGGCCGATGTTCAGGATGCTGTCACACACCTGTCACCGTCCGGGGAAAAGAGAGAAATGTCACAGGTACCCAGATGGGCTCCTGCTCAAGGAACCTGTCTCCAGGGGGTAGATGGGCGGGGTGGTGGGTGAGGAAGGAGGTTGGGAAAGCCAAGGCTTTTCCGAACCAGGCAACAGAGGCTCTAAGGCGTCCACAATTCAGAGGCACAGCCCGGCTGAGAAAAACCAAGGGCCTGCGGGAATGGCATTCACCGCCCTAAGCTTCCCACCTCTCTCTCCCCACCCCACGTCCCACCCATAGAGGTCCGGCGGCGAGCAGGAGGCCAGGGGCAAAGGGTACCTCAAAAGAGTAAGTGGCCAGCTGGGTCCCGGACTGGGCTTCACTGCCGTACACCTCAATCTCGTCGACCTCGTCCTGCGGGGCTGACTTTCCTCCTGCAGGGGACGGCATGAGAGGAAGAACAGGGCAAGCGATCGGAAGAGTCCTTTGGCATTTCCCTCCCTCTCTTTCTCAAGGGCTTCAGTGCCTTCCACCCTCTCCTCCCCTGCATCGACCTATCAAACATTTTCTCTCTGGTAACCTTCGGCACTCCCCCCCCCCACATGATCATTTGTAAATCTACAAAGAGAAACCACAGGGGCTTTGCTGAAAAGGACCCAATCCCAACTCGCCACCTCAGCAAGGTGTTTGGGAGGGGAGTCTCGACCGACCTTCCCCCAAGACTGTCACAGGCTCAGAGAGCGGATCGTTCCCCCGAGCCTGCCAGGCGAGACTCCTGGAAACGTGGCCGAAGGCAGCCCCAAAGATTAACCCAGGAAGAGGACAGGCCCCTCCGCTCTTCCCTTGGTGGCAGAGGCCACCCGCGTCAGTCCAAAGGGGATGTGGGAAGCCCCACCGTGATCCTCCCAAAGGGAAGCACTCTGGCCGAGGCACTCACCTGCCCAGTTCACAGGCTGCTCCACGCGCTTCTTCTTGACGGGGGGCTCCTCCTGTCAGGGGAAGAAAGACAGACGCCAACAAGAGTTACCTGCGACGGCCCTTCCTCCTCCCTGCCAGGAGCCTCGATCCGGTTGAGGTGATGGGTCGTCGCATGGAAGGTAGAACAAGTGGCCTCAGGGGGTAAGAACAAGCCAGTGGGTTCAAGTTACAAAGAAGGCAGTTGGAACAATATTCAGCACTGGTGAGGCCTCCTCTAGAGCACTGTGTTCAAGAAGGATGCCGACCAACGGGAGCAAGTTCAGAGGAGGGCGACGAGGGTGATCCGAGGGGCTGGAAACCAAGCCCTGCGAGGAGGAAAGACTGAACGAACTGGGCCAGTTTTGCCTTGAGAAAAGAAGGCAGAGGGGAGAGAGGAAAGCCCTTTTCGAATCCTCGAAAGGCTGCCCTACAGAGGAGAAGTAGGATATTTGATCATCATCCCAGAGTGCAGGACATGCAACCATGGGCTCAAGTTACGGGAAGCCACATTTCGGCTGAATATGAAGGAAAAACCTCCAAACCGTACGACCGTGGAACCCATGACCGTCCAACCCTGGAGGCCTTCGAGAGAAACCTAAAAGACAACCACCTGGCAGATATCTTTTGCTTTGTCTTCCTGCACGGAGCAGGGGGTTGGACTCGATGGCCTTATGGGCCCCTCCCACCTCAACTATTCTATGATTGTATGAGTTTAATCATGAGCTGTTGGACAGCAGAGGAGGTCCCTCAGAAGGCTGGTGGACTCTCCTTCCATGGAGGATTTAAAAGAAAGACAGGCTGTCTTTTCGTTTGGGAAGCTATCGCCGTGTGTTTCCTACACAGCCAGAGACATAAACAACAACACCTTCATGGTGTCCCTTGAGAGCCCCCGTCCTCCTCAGACTCCCGCTCGCCTTGCCAGCCAACCATACGGGGGGGCGCAGGGTAGTTCAGCCCAGCCACCACACCGGTGGTCTTGCACCCGGACCAGCCTCTCTTTCCACGAGGCCATCCAAACGGCTCTTTCTCTCACAGGGCCCAGGCGTTGGGGAGCCGCAAGCTGAACCTGGCAGGCTGGCACTGCCACGTGGATGGCAAGACCCTGGCCCGACTCACCACCTTCTCCGCAGAGTCTTTGGCGATGCTCAAGGGGGCCTCCTGGAGTTTCTCCGTGTATTTCAGGAGGAGAGAGTTGCCCAGGCGTGAGCCCAGGAAGAGGTAGCCGGGCTCCATGGTGATCATCTGAGGAAGCAGACAAAGAAAGAGGGTGAACAGGAGAGCAGTGGGGAGACGGTCAACAGACAGACGACGGGGGGAGCTCTGAGGGGCAAAGCAAAGCGACACAAGGGGCTTCCCAGGGCTGCGTCCCTTCTCTCCTTTGGCAAACCTCTGCGCCGTGAGGGGGAACACCTCACTGCCCCACCATCCACCCAGCATGGCTCCATCCTCCAGCTTTAAGACCCACTCTCTGTGGGTCATCCCAGTTGAACGACAGCCAGTGCCGCCCACCGGCTGGCTTCTGAGGGAAGCCGTCTCAGCGCCACATGCCTGCCGAGCAGACAGTGCTCCCTCTGCTCCCCACCTGCCCAAGCCCCATCAGCACTCCCCTGCTCCACGGAGGAACATCGCTTACGCAAGTGGTGAGGACGCTGGCCGCGGCCTTGTCAAAGTGGAAGGACCGGACGCTTCGCATGCCGTCTGTGATGAGAGTCAGGACGTAGCTAGGGAAGGAGAAGAAGGCCCAGGGAGGGAGTCAGCGGCTGAGGGCTCAGAGCCGGCCACATCCGGACAAGGACCCTTCCAGCAACTTTCTGACTCCTGCCTGATGGCTCAGGCTCGCAGCCAGGAGGAGCAGCCTCGCTTCGGCCGAACCGAAAAGGCAAACGAAGCTGAGGCATCCATAGCTGAACCCTCACTTGTTTCAGTGGCTTCACCGTACCGATGTTCACAACCGCCCCACAGAGCCAGAGCTAAGATCGACCGAAAGGGTGCGGCTCTAGATTTTCTGCCACAAATCACACAACAAATATTGGAGAAATCCAGCGAAGCCTCTGTTCAGGCAGCTGAGTCCCACCTGACCACCCCCTGATTTACTAAGTGCACCATTCCCCGAACTGGGAAACAGGCAGCTCAATGCGTCTTACCTGAAATGGGAGCAGACCAAGCCCTTCCCCAAAGTTTGCTGAAATAAGTGTGAAATCGTGACAGGTGACAGCACCACAAGAGGTACCCGTTTCCTCCTGCAGGGCTCCCCGACAACTCCGCCTGTTTCTCCTATCCTCCCTCAAGTCCCTCTCCGGCTGCAAGGTTTTCTACTAAACCATGAAGTATTTATCCACTGCCTGCTGAGAGGCAGGAGAGGTTGCCAGGCTTTAGAGCCTCTCCCTTAACCACAGGACAAAGCTGAACCAAAAGGTGGTGACATCTCCTGCCAAGGTGGATGCCTGGAAGACAGAAGGACCTTAGAAGCGCCCTGTGCTGGCTCAGGCCCAGGGGCCCCTCTCGCTCAGCTCCCGGTCTCTCACAGGGGCCGCACCAGATGCCTCTGGGAGCAGACGATAACACGAGATCCCTGTCTCCTGATCCCCCTCCCCTGCCTCTGTCTGGCCTTTGGAGGTGCCTTCCTTCTAAGCCTGGAGATGGTACGTCCCCATCACGACAAAGACTTTCCTCCCTCTGCGTGGCTCCCAAAGGCTCTCTTGAGCAGGAAACCACCTCTGCAGGACACAAAACCAAACCACACCGAGCCAAAGAAAGCACAGCCCCCCGTTACAGAAAAGTCGAATCGACAACTGTTTCAGGTGACATGAGAAGGAGAAGGCATCCTCTTACATCTCCCCGCCTTTCAGGGATATCACCATCTTGTCATAGGAGATGAAGGCCGCCTGGGCACAGTCCAGCGTGATCTTCACTCCCTCCTGAACCCCTGCCAAGAGAAAAGAGAGCTATCAAGAAAGGTGATAAGTCCCAGAGCAACGAGACAGGGCTGCGAGAGGCAGGACCCACATCACCGGACAAGCGTGACCTTGGCATATGTCCTGCTACAAGTGCTCGCTCAGAATGAGGAAGGAACCGTCCATTTCCACATTTCATGACACATTCAAGTCGTGGACTCGCTTTTTAGTAAGAGAGCAAGACTCTGAGAACCTGGAGGGTTGAATTTTCCAAACAAGCATGCAAACAAAAATACAGCGTGCAAGCACACCTATGTCTGGGCTAAGCATTTTTAAAAACATCTTTCTAGCCCTTGGGGTTATAGGAAAAGTTTGAGGAATCCTTGAGGGCTCCTAGTTTATTTTATGGATTTAAAAGGACCCTTTAAAAGGACCCAAGGCGGCTGAGAGCATCAAAAAATACTACTTAAAGCTAAAAACAGAGTATACAAAGGTGGCTGACCTCATTAAAAGGCAGTATTTAAAGCTAAAAACAATAAGGTTCAGGTACAAGAGGGAGTTGACGGCAATAAGGATATAACAAGCATATTATTCTCACCCTCCCCTTCCCAATACAATTAATCTACAAAAAAAACTTCTTTATGAACCCGAAGACCCAACAGAAGCTTTTATGGAATAGAGTCAGTCATTTTGGATTTAGACACAGGGCTCAGAGTATTCACCATCCGTTCCCCCTCACCGGGTCGAAGTGTGAAACAAGCAGGAGGTGGGGTTTTACACCTAGCTCTGCACCAGGTTTCAGACGCTCATTTCGCAAGGGTCCCGCCTCCCGTGTTTCGGACAGCTCCCCGCGTTTCATTGAACCAAGGCAGAGGCAGCAAGACAGGCGGGCATACTTAGGGGGAAGACGGTAGTGCCGTTGGTCAGGCTGTTGAGGGACACGCCGTAGGGCGGCACGCTCTGGTTCAGGTACAAGAGGGAGTTGACGGCAAAGATCACAACGCCACCTGGGAGGAGGAAAGATGGGGAGGCAGTTCAGGAGGGATCATCTCCCTCTGCAAGACAAGAGGCGAAGCGGGTGCAACAGAGTCCTTTTCTAGGTGAAGGGGTCTTGAACGCACAGGCACCACCTCCGCCCACGGCTCCATCGAGCCCAACGTGGTCTGCGTTTCCTGACGAAAGCTGCCCAACATTTCGGGGCAGATTCCCTCTTCCATCTCATTGCAGGGTGAAGCTGAAATCGCACGTGGGGAAAGGATCCAGAGACATACCAGCCCGTGTGCCCACTGAGCTCTAGGCCAATTTAGGGCCCACATGCTGCCCAGGCAGCTTCAAAAATCTCTCCGGATGGTCAGGCCAAGGGAGCCCCTGCCCCAAATTTCCAGCCCACAGTTCTACACCCGTATAGACACTGGAATGTCCCCCCGCCTCGCGTGTGTGGCATGCCTCCCATCGGGAAGCGGCCTTTCCTCTCACCGATGGGCTTGGGCACCGCCAGGGCCTGCGTGCAGTCGAAAGGCAGGTTGCTGAGCGACCAGATGACCGGGTGGACCTTCTGCATGATGTTCAAAGAGATGGCCACGATGCTGCAGGTGTCCTGACGCACGGCCACCCTCCTGCAGTTGGGGGGGGAAGGAGGGAAGGACAGCCAAAGAAAGCCCTGTAACGTGACACGTCACCCTCCGTGGAGCCAGCTCAGAATGGACCTGAGCAGAGCTTGGCAAAGTTACTTTTTTGGACTCAAAGAACCCTCTACCCATCTGAGTTGGTAGCTGGCGTGGGGCAGGGTCAGATCCAAAGGAAAGGGGTTATATGAGGGGGGTGGGGGCTCGCTCCAGAGCTGCTTCCATCGCCCCGTAAGTTCTGCCTTGTGTTCCTGACTCTTGTGGGAAATGTGACACTCCCACTCCCCGATTTCTAGCTCTAAACATTCATCTCCAAGGGGCTGGAATATAGTTGATGGTGGCGCTGGGGACCCTGCAGAAACACTCGGCGGGGGTCTCTCTATCCTCTTTTGTGATCAGGCATTCTAAGTTCGGGTTCTGCCATGTAGACCAAATTCCAGGCTCAAGATCCAGCTCAAATTAATTCTGGTCACTGCAGAGCAGCTCTTGTAGTTCAAAAAGTACAGTGGTGCCTCGCACAACGAATGCCTCACACAACGATGAATTCACACAACGATGGCTTTTTCTGAAAAATTTGCCGCCTCACACAACGATGTTTCCTATGGGGAATTTTCGCACAACGATTTTGGGACCATGCTTCACACAACGATTGCGTTTTGGGTCCCCTGTTTCACTGAACGATGTTTGCCAAAAAAGAGCAGGAAAGGTGGCTGTTAACAGTTTTAAATGCTTGGAATCGTTAGTGCACCTTCTAAAACGGGTGCATACTTAATTTGGCGTTGATCTGACTTTTCGTTAATTTTTTGTGAATTTTTTCTTCCCCCATAGGAAACAATGGAGCTGTCGGATTTTGACAGCTGTCAAAAGTTGGGGGGAAAATTTACCATTTATTAACAAAAAGTCAGATCAAAGCCAAATTAACTTTTCCATCCATTTTAGAGGGTGCAGAAGCTATTCCAAGCATTTACAACCGTTTTTGACCCTTTTATGACACACTTAAATTTGCAAAAATTGACTTCGCTAAATCATTAAAATGCATTGGAAAGGCTGCAATGCATTTCAATGGAGGAAACATTGTTTCACACAACGATGTTTCCTATGGGGATTTTCGCTTAAGGACGGCAATCCGTTCCAATTGGAACGGATTAACCGGTTTTCAATGCATTCCTATGGGAAATGGTGTTTCGCAGAACGATGATTCACACAACGATGAATTTTTTGGAACCAATTAACATCGTTGTGCGAGGCACCACTGGTAATTCATGATCATGACAAGACTACCGATCATCCAAGGAGGGCAGGCAGGTTGCCGGGGCCAAACCAGACACTGGGTTTGGGAAGGACCATCTCCTACAGGTGACATTCCTACAGAAACACGGTCCACCTGCCGTGTTCAACTGCTGGATATTTTCCGTCCACCTAAAAGAACAACCTTCCGTGCTCGGTGGCAAAACAGTCTCTCTTTCTTAGAAACCTGGGCAGGGTCCTTGAGACGGAGTCAGAGCTTGGCTCCTTCTCGCCTGCTCTGGTCGGCCCGGCTCTTCCGCTCCTACCTCCATGCCACGCCTGCTCTCCTTCTGCAGCAATCACCCCTTCTCCTCCGACGGTATCTTCCTCAGCAGCGGATGCAAAAGCCCTCCGGGCCTGATCCTCAGCACCACCACAAGAAAGGCCTGGGAAGGGGGTCAGGCAGACCCCCTGCACCCCCAAAGCGCCTCATTTAAGCGACAGGTGGCCCAGGAGGGTCCATCCTCCAGGGGTTGCGCTCCGAATAGCCTTCACCCTGGTGGCACTGGCTGTGGCTGCTGGGAGCTGTAGTCCCATAACCTTCCAAGGGCTGCCCTATCCCACCCACGCCCGAGAGGAATCGAGTGGCGCTCACCCATCTTTAGCCCCACACCTTTGAATGGGTTCTCTGAAGACTTGAGTCCAGATTTCCTGTGCTTTCCCTACAAGGCAGGCGGTGGGGGAAATGGCAGCCTCCCTCCCTCGCCCCCCCTTTGGGACTGGGGTTAACAGGCTGGCCTTGCAGGAGGAGGAGGAGGAGGAGGAAGGGGAAGAGGGGACGCACCCAGGCCAGGTCTGGTTGGGCTCAAACAGGATGAGCAGGGTGGGCTCATAGTAGCCGTACAGGAACTGCATGTCGATGATGTTGAGCAGCTTCTCGTCCAGCTCCCGCACGTCGATGATGTAGCTGGGCAGGAAACTCGACTTCTGGCTGTACGGACGGAAGCACAGAAAGCGACAAGAGGCCCTTCCACACCTCGAAGGGGAAGCACGCATGATGAAGCCGCATTTTGGGGGGCGGGGGGGGGAATCCATGCAGAAAAGCCCAGAGGAAGGTGCAATCCTTTAGGTAGCCGAAAGGATTACACCTGAGCCATGAGAGGAAGTTCCCAGGCAGCGCGGCCTGCCCGGATCTGTGCCAGTTTGCATCAAAGGCCGTTGTGGAAGGCAGGCTCAGTAAGAGCAAATACGCAGCGAGAACAGCTTCCTTCTCCCTCTGCTCCTTTTTTTCACACTTTCTCTCTCTCTCTCTCTCTCTCTCTCTCTCACTCACTCACACACACACAACAACCTTCACGTAGTTAGACCCTACAGACCCTGCGTTTTCCTACATGGCCCACAGGTACTAAGTTCCCAGATCAATGGAAATCATGCGATGAAGTGCCACATTTGGGTTGAAACTCCGTTATTTCTAAAATGCCCCCCCACACTTACCCTTCCCCCATGACTCCGTCATGCTCATCAGTCAAGGTGTCCCGGCGGAACGGCAGCACCACCAGCCGCGTGCCGTAGATGAGCATCACGGCGCAGCGCCCGTCAGGATCCACCCGCACTTTGGGGATGTGAACATTCTGCACAAAGCCATCCTGGGGAGAAGAAGAAAGAGATGGGGGTGAGGCTGGGGGGGGGACAGACAAGGGAGCCCTGAGCCCCAACCCTAGCCCGATCGGCTCTCCTTCCTGTCCTGCTGGTCTGCCGATGGCCTCTTCACCTGTGGCACCGAGAGGCCCACTGGAGCCCACGAGAGAGGCCTACCCGCCTTCAGGGTCTCCAGAAGGTCCGCCATGCCTCGGACCATTCTGAGCCTTCCTGTCTCAGTGGGTTGTAGCCTTGTCTCCTCAAACAGCCACTGGGTGACAAAGGAAGCAGGGCAGAGGAAGAGGAGGGAGGGAAGATGCAAAGGAACCCCAGCCCCCAGAGCCCGAGGGGGGGGGGAGGAAGAAGGGGAAGGAGTCCCTCCGAGAGGGGCTTTTGAAACCCAGCCCTCCGAGACCAACCTTCAGCTCCGGCTCCTCGAAGTAATGAAGGGAAAGGGTCTTCAGGTCGTGAGTGCCGGGGTCGTACTCCACCACCGAGAGCTGGAAGGCAGAAAAGGAGAGTTTTAAATGCAGAGCCGTCCCCTCCAGAGGGTCATCTGCCATTACGGCTTGGTGGGAAATCGTACGTCTGGAGGTGACCCGCATGGGCTGGACCGACGGTATGTTCGGACCACCGCGTTCCCCCTTGTTTGAGATCCTGGCTGGAACACAGCCCCTCGCTTGGATTCCCCACTTCGCGCGGCCTTGTCGTGTTGGCGCTCTCGTCCGCACGCTGGCCGCCAGGAGCCAAGCCAGAGTTTGGAGGAGCCCCTTTTCAAAACCAGGAGTCCCATTGGCCACAACGACCGGGGAACTCAGGGATCTGTGGTCCAGAAAAGGTCATTCCACCAAGTCAAACAAAAGGAGAGGGCCTCCCCAAGGTGGATTTTTAAAAAAAGCAAAACAATGATTTCTTCTAAAAAAAATCAAATTGATCAAAATTATGATTTATATTTCACAAAAATATATATATTTCAAATCATCCGAAAAAATCTGATTTTTAAAAAAGGCCCTTCTCTTTTTAAATCAAATCCACTCTACCAAAAACCCTAAGAAAGGCCATCTGGTCCTTCTCTAACAACCCAAATGTTTGTTTGTTTAAAATATTTTTACCCCGCTTTTCTCCTGGAAAAGGCGGTTTACAAAATAAGACATTTAAAGTCGAAAACAGTAAGTATGTAACAGAGGTTAACGTTGTTAGAAGACCATATCTGAAACGACAAACAAGGAGGCATCTTCGATCAATTATCAGGTGATACTAAGGCAAAGATCAAGAAGTCTACAAAAAAGAAATAGGTCACACTGAGAAATGGAAAACTCAAAAAGGGAAAACACAAGTAGTATCAAAAACGTAGTCAAAGCCATAATGTGTAACGAATCTGTCTAAAAAACACGCACAGGTAGCCGGTAGTGGACTGAAGGAACGCCCGCACAGCATCTGTAGCTCCTCGGGACTCGAACAGGCAGAAGGAAGGGAAGGTGAACAGAACTGGACTGGCTGGCGGGAGCCGCCTCTCCTCCAGCCGCCCCCTGCCCGCCTCCCCCACGCCCACGAATCTGCCCCCACTGTCATAAACCCACCTTGGCGTCCTTGAAGCTGAGAAGGAGGGCGTCCCTCTTGGCGCCCGCAAGCTGCACGCTAGCCATGGACATGACGTTGCCGAAGAAAGAGAAGGCGGCCACCAGCTCCAGCTTCTCCTTGTGGCCTTTGCCTTCTGGACAAGACAAAGGAAGACTGGTGAGAGGGAGACCTCGGCTGCGGACCCCATGGGGTCCCAGCCCGATCCTCACGGCATGCCCCTCTTGCCCCAAAGGAAGATGCTTGGCCTGAGAGACCCTCGGGCCTCTCCCTGTCCAAGTCAGTCCATGTGCACAGACACCACCCCCCAAGCAAGGACCCTTCTAGGTTTCAATCCACACAAAGGCTTTCTTGTTGCCGGTCAGGTCAGGAGAGAAGTCGTTCCTCAAACACGGGTCTTGCCCCGTCTATGCATTTGTCCTGCCACATTGTGGCCCCCCCCCACGCCTTCTGCATGCTTCCCATATGCCACTTCTGTTCCAGGCCCTCAATATTGAAAAGACAGACGTAACCGAGAAAGTTGGGGACCGTGGACACTGGAAGGGCCAAAGGCAGGAAAACCCCAGGCCTCGTGGTCCCTCTCCATAAGCTCTCACGGCAGCAAAAGCCCATGAACCCAGGACACGGCTGTGAGCCACAGACATACGGATCCCAGGGCATGTCACAGGGAGACCCAAGGTGGGGTTCCCAGCACTGTCTCTTGTCCACTCCGTGAGTGTTACTGCCTCTCGTGCAGAAGCCTTTCTTGAGAGGGGAGGCCCATCCCTCTCTTCTCTAAAACTGAGCTACAGCTGGCATTTCTGGACCAGCAACAGGATTCAGTGGCCAAGAGACCCGACACGCCTCTTGGCTGCTTGGAAAGCAGGTTAGAGTGCAGGGAGCTCCTTGGTTCCAGCAGGGACAAACTGTGGACCCAGAGGGCTTGCACCCACGTTATCAAGGGTCAGCAACCCAATCTCAAGCAGGCAAGAAAATCAGAAATGGACAGAGATGTGCCGCAGAGACATCGGCTGGACACAGGGTGGCCCTCCTAGGGCACATCTCCATAGGTTGTGGCTATCTGTTAATGTAGCTCTTCTGTTTCCCCATGGAAAGCCCTACAGGCAGTACCTTCGGTGGCTCAGGCCCTCCATCCACACCCACCCACCCACCTTCCACACTCTGCTTACCTGTGTTCCTGTCATTTTTGGTTGAGGTCTGGAAGAGAAGCAGACAGGCATTGTCAGGTCCCGCAGGCGCAACTGCAGGCACACGGCACCAGCGGCTGCTCCAGAGAGTCACTACTCTCCGGGGCAAGGTGCCAAATCCACAAGCCCCAAGCTCAGCCCCCGAGTGACACAGAGGCTCACATTGCAGAGAGAGCAAGCAGCACCGCCTCTCCCTACAGAAAGGAACCGCTCACCCCCACATTTCGTCCCTTTCTCACTCCAATAACTGCATAGCCCTAACCTCCTACTGATGACAAGAATACACATCTTATGGCTTCTCCTCTGCAGCTCATTCTCTAACCCAGCTCTCAGCTCCCGGTCTCCCTTCTCCCTCAACCACTCTGCACGGAGCTATCTCAATTTAGACATTTTTGGCTGCTCTCTCTGACTTTAAAAGCTAACGTTTCTAGATGCCTTTTGGGGATGAGCTTCGGCATGGCACAGAGCTCCCCCACCCACCGAAACCAGGTTGCCCCCATTCTCCTCCTCCTTCCTCCCGAAAACGGCACCAGCAAAGGCCTCCTGTAGTGCCAGAACTGTTCCTTCCCGAGGCTTCTGCAAAAGCAACGAAGCACCTGACTGCTCAGAGGGACAAAGGTTCCAGAGAGCTGCAGAACAGCTGCAAAGCCCTATTTAAGAAAGAGGACTGCACAGCCATCTGGAGAAGGACAGGAAGGTATTTTGGGGGTGTGAGAGAAAGGATTCGGGGGTGGAGGAGGAATAAGCAGCTGCCCAAGTCCTCCCAGATCTCCCCACCCCCAAATTCAGCTTAGAAACGGCTGCAATGCCACAGAAGCATCCATGCTGGGAGAAGGAGTCGGATTGCTGGGACATTATGAAAATATTACACGGAAGCATGTTTTTCTCACCCCTCGAGGGTCTCCAGAATTACCAGCTTTTCAATTGAAAAAAACATACAATCTGTCCTTGTCGAGAAAAAGTGGTTTGGTTTGGTTTGCTCACTTGCACCACCAGGCCTCCTCTAGCATTCAAGCACGCATTCCCCGGCGATGCTTTCCTGAGATACTTGTGTGTGGGTTTCCCCTCGGGAATCTGGTTGGTCCCTGGAGGACAAGGACATGGGTCTAAACAGGCCCTTGATCCGACTCACTTGGACGTGGCGCTTCCTAGGATCCCCCAGACAAAGAGACACCACTTTAGACCACATCAGCCACAGACAGGGGGTTCAGGGTACCTCGGAGTCGTGGTTGAGCCGGTAAACGTACAGCTGTGAGGTTCCCGCCACCACCAAGTTGCGCTCAGCGTTGGAGAAGAAGTTGCAGTACATGGAGAACTCCAGTCCCGTGGGAGGGTGCGCCTGCTTGTAGACGGCGTACATCGCGGCGGGCTCCCTGCAAAGAGGCACAGCTCAGGAGGGGAAGGCCACCCCGCCAGCCGAGGGGCCGAGCAGGGCTCGATTGTGGAGGAGATTGCCCGGTTATCTGGCCGGTTCTGGCCAAAGGCAGGTAACTCCAAGAGGAATCAGCTGCTGCATTCCCTGCATGAGCCTACCCATGCTGCTGTGCCTTCAATCGGTCCCTGTTGGCTTACATCTACAACCTCCTACTATCAACAGACAGCAGCCATTCTCACGGATCTGGGCACTGGTTCGAGTGGCCAGGAGAGCCAATCCATGGAGGAAGGAAGGCCTAGACACAGCAAAGAAATGGGGAAGGTCCTCCAGGCAAACGGGGGCATCGGTTGCCATGGAATGCGTGATACCCTTGAGCTGCTGCTGGCTTCAGAAATAAGTCAGAAATAAGCCCAGGGCTGCAGGCGCCATGACCTTTGAGCATAAAAACGTTGGGCTACCTACTAACAAGCATCCTAACTCCCCTCCAACAGGACTCGAAAAGTAAACAATCATCGTTTTAGAACTGCCAAGCTGGAAAGAACCCTGTGGATCACGGAGGGCCAGGGTGGAATTGAACTCCCAACCTCTGGCTCCACAGCCAGTTACCTATAAACCCCAGAGCTATCCAGCAGAGACCAAAACCAACCCTATTTTGTTCCAATGTTGACCCTAATAGATGATGTTTTTGGACTGCACCTCCCTTCCTCTGTGGCCACCGACTCCACCGGCTAGGGCTGACGGCGTTTGTCCCATTTCTCTGCGCCTCTCTCCACCTCTGCCCCCAAAGAGGAACCATGTGTTCCAAAATAAGGTTTGGCAGGAGAGGCCCCTTTGTGACCAGCGGCTAAGGCATTCTTCTAATCCACATCCCCAGAAGGGAAAGCCAAAACCTACCATTCCCGAGTAGATTCTGCAGCCCCTGTTTTGATACTTGCTTTAAACAAGGGTCCTGGTGCGTCCACCTGGCCACAGATTTTGGAACGGCTGTTTTTCCTGCACTGATCCCAGCTCTGAGATGACTTGTGTAGAGTTGAAAGCAAGCCTCTCTGGGCAGAATTTCAGTCTTCTAACAAATCCCCCTCCCAAAACAATCCTGTTGGGTTCACCATGTGCCTAACAGCAATCCCACAATCAGATTTCGTCCTTTTTGAGGGTTTTCTGTGGTGCCCCTGGCTGGGCAAGGCTTGCAAGGTTGCCATGCCCCATGCAACCGATCTAAAAGGATCCTGACAAACGTTCACGTCGGACAAGGGCAAACAACACAATGAAAATACGGATCCTAGAACCCACATGGGGGGGGTGGCGCTACTATTTCCTCCCTCTAGCCCAAAGGCAATTTCATCCTTTGCCCCTTCAGCCCTTTCCCCTCAAGGACAGCGCTTGGGAAGCAGATCTTGGGTTTTCTTCAGCTCCGTTGGGAAAAGGCTCCCAAGCCATCGCCCGTCTGTGGCCATGCCACGCAGCCTCACCCCAAACTGTCCTCGTTTGACGTGCGATCCTGTCGTCCCCCTTTAACCCTCACTGCCGTGGCGTTCTCGCTTCGTTGGGTTCCCATCATATCTAAACCCCGTCGAACATTATTTCCCCCTTTTCTAAAATGGGAGACGTGGAAGGCAAACCTGGTCTGACCTGGCGGCCTGAAAGGGTGGTTTGGCCCCCTGTCTCTTTGTAGAATAGTCTCTCCAGACTGAAATATGCCTGATCTAATTTGTAGAATCGTTTAAAGTTGTTTAGCAAAGGTATCACTTCTGTTTCTTTTAATATGTTTTCTGTGGGACACCGTCCAGAAGATCAGTCTCGCTAGATGGGGGAGTCTATCCAGACGGTCCCCCCTACCTGCAGGATCAGTATCCACTACTAATAGGAGTTCATTGATTTCCCTGGCTGAAAATACTAAATAACCCCCACACACCACAGAAAGACGTACAGTATTTCTATTCTGCCCAGGGTGTATCTGCCACAACTGGGCACTAGAAAGAGTCACCCACCCACCCACCTCCAGCGTTCGCCACTTCCGCGTGTTTCGACATCCGCGGAGGGGGCCTGGCCCCGGAGAAAGCGCAGTCAAGTCGAATGAATGAATGAATGGGAATAATGAAACAGCCCCGTTTTGGACAGGGAGCCCCCACCCCACCCCCTTGGCGTCCCACCGGTGCTCCCCTACCCGGGTCACACTCCTGCGAGGGACAAGCGGGGAAAGAGGACAGGAGGCCTCCCGCCTTCCTCCGAGCGCAGCCGGCTTCGAGGGCAGGCCGCCCCGCTGCCTTCACGGCGACCACCCGCCTCGAGACCAACCCCCCCCCGGGCAGGAGGGAGGGCTGAGCAGCAAACGTTCTGGGGGGGACACGAGGGGGGAATGGATAGACGGACGGACAGGAATGCCGGGGAGGGGATTCCGATTCTCCCCCACCCCCGCCACAGGCCCAACCCCCGCCCAGCCCCTCACGAGACCTCCCCCCGAGAAACCGGGCTTACCTCCCCCGCCCCACCGCTCAAATTCCCCCCCTCCGCCGGCAGGATGCAGCGCCGCGGTCGGTCCGGCCGGAAACGCTTCCCTCCCGGCACCCTCGGCGCGGCGACGGAGAGGCGAGGCGAGGCGAGAGGGCTAGAGCGGCCGCCCGGAGCGGGAGGGAATGGGGGGCGGGGCCAAGCGCGAGTCCCTCCTCCCGAGGAGCCGAAGGGCGGGAGGCGTTCTCGGAGTTCTGATTGGTCAGAAGGGGCAGAAGGGGCGGGGAGGAAAGCAAGGGAGGGCGGATGGGAGTGTATGTGCCGTTGCAAGAGTGCCTCTGAGCATGTGCGGAGTAGTTCTGCTTCACTCCTATTTAGGGTGGCGGGCCAGGACCTTCGTGGTCTTGTTTTATATATTTATTATTTATTTACAATGTTTTTTTTACCCCGCCTTTTCCCTTGAAAAGGACCCAAGGCGGCTTACAAACCAGGAAAAGGGCCATCTTTAACGTTGGAAACAAGGCTTCTGCCACTGGGTGTGTGTGTGTGTGAATAAGATCATTAAAAGACAAATGTCTAAAGCTAAGAACACTTGAGTATCAAGAGGCCTCTTGCATCACTAGAAAGGCAAGCGGTGGAGCTGAGAAGACGAAGCGGGCCATGAAAAACCAAGCCACCAAAGGCCCCTCTGGAGAAACGGGAAAGGCAGAAATGGCAAAACCCAAGTTTTGTAGTCCCGGAAGGCTCGGCTGGGCGCCCTCGAGGTGGCCCATGCGGTCCCTCTGTTTGCCCGCCTTTGAGTGCCTTGGTTTCATTCCTGTGCCCGTTGTCCATCCTAGGGCAGGGTCTCTCTACGTGATGCTGAGCCAGAGGCCTGCAGTTTGAATTCCACACTGGGCAAAAAAAGCCAGCCTGCGTGGCCTTGGGCAAACGGCGCAGTGGCCCCACAGCTGCCCCCTTGAAGATGGGAAGGAGAAACCGCTTCGGAGGATTCGATACCTGGGAAACCCTGGGAAAAAAGGGGTTACCAGAACTCGGAATTGACTTGACAGCATGCGATTCGGATGATTCGGCTCGGGCACCATTTATCCCTGCCAAAGAAAAATGATCGGATTATACAAAGGAATCTCTGCCCCTTGAATGAGCCGGGTTTGGGTGTTAAAATAATCAGAGGAGGCCTTATTTCGGTTTTACCACCTTCACAAATGTATTTGTTGGGGATATGCAACAGGACCTTCTCTGTGGCTGCTCCCGGAGACTCTGGAACTCCCTGCCACTGGAGGCTGGCCCCCCTCTTTGCAGTCCTTCTGCAAGCAGGCTAAGATCTTTCTCGTCACCCAGGCGTTCCCTTAGTGATGGACTGTCTGGAAGAGGGTTTTTTAAAAATGGGTGGTTGCTCCTTGTTGCTTTGAATGTGTTTCTGGTGTTGGTTTTGTTTACATTTTCACTGGGTTGTTTGTTCCATTCTTATTTAATATTTATATCCTTACTGTTTTTAGCTTTTAAACATTGTTGTTTGATGATACATGCCACCTTGGGGCCCTTTTAAGAGAAAGGTAGGGTAAAATACTTTAAATAAGATTAACTATATAAACAAATAAACCTGTATCACAAACAGTCATGAGTGCTACCTATTGAATGGATGCTGTTTGTTTGTTGTTAATGGTTGTCAAGAGGCCTTTTCATTTCATGCTTTCATCCTGTTTTTCTTTTGAAAAGGGAGACCAAAGCAGCTAATAATATATGTCAACATCAGAGCTTTGGAAAGATTGAGAAGGGGGGGGCGTTATTGTTTTGAAAATACCCTTTGAATCACAGATTACACAATCCCCCGGGTCATGCTGGTTTGGAGTTTCTTGGTAGTGTTGTCTAAAAGTAATCCAAGTCCGGAAATAAAATGTTTGTTGTTTAGTTGTTAAGTCATGTCCGACTCTTCGTGACCCCCATGGACCAGAGCACGCCAAGCCCTCCTGTCTTCCATGGTCTCCCAGAGTTTGGCCAAATTCATGTTGGTCACTTTGAGGACACTGTCCAGCCATCTCGTCCTCTGTCGTCCCCTTCTCCTCCTGCCTTCACACTTTCCTAATATCAGGGTCTTTTCCAGGGAGTTTGCTCTTGTCATTATTGGAATGTGATGCTGTTTCCCCCCCCCTCCTTCCTTCTTTGGCTTCTCTTTCTAAATACTGTAAACCCCATAATGTCAGTGTATATGCATACACACCCACAAACATTGCAAAAGTATGGCTTGTGTTTTTCCCAAAGTGTTATTACGGTGTGTGTTTCTGGTCCTTCCTTCGTGTTTAAGTGTCCTACTTTTGAAAAGATCCGGGGGCAGCATTGAGCAGAAGGGGTTTGGATGCCAGCCTATCTATAATTCCTCTTGGGGGGAGAACTCTTGTAAAGAAGGGGTTCACTGGTAACGATCCTGAAGCAGCTCCTCGCCTGCCATGCTGGCCAGCAGTAGCCACCAAAGTTGCAAGAAACTCTTTCCAATACATCGTTATCTCACGCCTCTGTTTTTTAAATTATTTATTTATCTGCGCTATGGGGGTTTACACCCAGAGAGGATGTTCTGACAGCGGAAATCTCCCCAGAGAAAACAATAAGAGCAATAATTTAATGATGAGAATGATGTGTGTTCTGACTGTGCTCTTCCTTTCCCTTAGGCGTTTGAAATGCATGGTAGGCCTTCCATTTCGGAAGGAACTATAGAACTGTAGCTGAAAAAAACTTCTTGCTTCCCCGGGCTTCTCCCGCCTCGGGGCCCCTCCCCAATTTTTGCCCCTCTGTTCTGAGAAATAACTACAAGGCCAGACATGAACCATTTAAAACCCATACATTTTATTTGCTGTTCATGAAACCTAGGATGCCGTGAGTCTCAAACAACGGAGATTGAAGTGTGCGGCCATCGGTTTAGCTGGACGGCGTGTCCGTGACGGGGACTCAGGCCAGGTGGGTGGGCGGGGGAGCTCCCTGTGTTGTTGATGCTGCAGCAGCAGCAGCTCGTGTTTCTCTGGAGAAGGGATCCTCGGACCAAGGAGTAACACGGGCTCCCAGATTTATCCTTCCGCTCCAAAGCACATGTCGAGACAGGGTGTGCTTAGCAGCTTCAGTCACGCTTCATTCGGCTGAAGGCCCAAGTTCCATTTTCTGGTACGGATGAAGTAGCAAGGGTGCCATGGAGCATAGACAGAGTGTCCTAATTCCAAATGCCAAATGAAAGCGATACGGCTACTTTTCCAAAAGGCGACGACGCTGTGCAAGCTTTCAGACCCATGGCCTGTTTGTCAGGTGAGGTTTCCGGGCTGTGCAAACTCTCAAGACATGTAGGCACCATGTGGGGCCTTTTAAAACAATGTCCATCTAACAGAGGTATCTCCCCGATACGGAATCGGGATTTTGGAATTCAGTAATAAGCAGCAAGACAACATGTTTCCTTGTCCACAGGCCTTCCTCAAACATTTGGCATCGAGGGAAGCGGATTTTCACATTTAAATGGCACAGCTTCGATCTGCCTCTTTTACAAAACAGGTGGGTTTGCAAAAAAATTATAGGACGCACCCTTTTCCTCAGAAACCACGTGGTATAAAACTGGGCATTGGGCGCGGTCTAATGGCACATACTCAGGCCTTTGGTCCCCTGGGCCCAGCACCCCCTCTCCTGGGGGTGGACGTGGGGGCCAACTAGCCTGCGGCTTTCTCACCCTGAACCTCTGCTACCTGAGATTCTTTTAACTGGGTGGTGGTGATAGGGACTGAGTACAATGAGCATGGGAAAGGGGAAACAGCAGCCTTCAGAATCAAAATTCTTCCTGAACCACTGGCATATCATCACTAAGCTGTGGGTATTATTATTATTTTATTCTTCCAGTCTGGACAAGTATGCCCTACTTCCTCTAAGGACACAGGGTTTACGAAGGGCCTCACGGGGCACAGACCCCCATTTCCTGGGGTTCCTGGAGGGGAAATGGGCAGGTACAACCTTAATAAATACAATAAATAGACGAAGAGGGGAAATGGAAGGATGACCGTTCCCAAGGGGCAAGCTCTGTAGGTGTGTGCATGTGGCTTGCACGCGCCTGAATTCGCTCCGAACCTCAGTCTTTGGGTCTGGCACAGGGACTCTGAACCTCCCTTTCCCAGTCCCTCCTTGCACCCCCTTCTCTCCGGTCACCGAGGAAGCGCAGCCGAGACCTGGCCAGGCCCGCACCATGGATCTCCACGGGCCCTGCCTCCTGGGGCTGGTCAAGGTCTCTCCGGGAGTGGCACGTGTCAAATGGTGAAGTTGTCCTCGAAGAGGGAGAGCAGCAGCAGGATGGCCCAGCCGGCCAGGAGGCCGATGTTCTGCAGGCAAAACAGCAGCCAGGGGCGCTTGTCCTTCACGTTCATCAAGGCCGGCAGCTGCAACAGGAGCACAGCGAGAACGGGAAAGGGTTAGCCGTGGGGGGACCGCAGAGCGCCGGCCCACAAAATCCAGACCCAAACTGGGGCCCACTGGTCTTTCTGGACTGTGGCCCCCAGAATCCCCTCAGCCAGGAAAAAGAGGACTTTGCTCTCTAAAGCAGGACACACGTGCACGCTGAGCTTTGTCAGGCAGCCCTCCATGCGACGATATCCCTGGGGGAAAGGGGAGGACCGTCCTAGAGAATCCTGGAAACTTTAAAAAAGGGTGCTGCTTATTTTATTTATGGTTTATTTACATAAAATAGTCCTATCCTGCCATTCTTCCCCAAAGGGACCCAAGGTGGCTCGCGTCATTGAAAAGATACTTGAAAGCTAAAATCAGTAAGTGTGTGAATATTTGAAAAGAATTAAACAAGTACTATGCTAACAATGGTAAATAAAATAATTGGCCTTCTCAGCCACACTAGACACTGTTCCAAGACCTCTCTTTAGAGCACATTACCATAGTCTCTTGAGACTGAAGGATGCCTAAATCTAAATTAAAATCAATATCAAAATGCATTTAAAACAACAAAGCACAAGAGTCCATTTAAAAATCCGTCTCAGACCACCGGTCAGCTTTGGCTAAGGATGCTGAGAATGCCAACAGAGATATCTCTATATTTCTTCTTTTTATTTAACGGGCTAGAGTAGACGTTGTCTAGAGGGGTGGGGTAAAAATCAAATAAATAAATAAATAAATAAATAAATAAATCCCGCTTTCCCAAGAACCGTGTCTCACGTGGCTAATCTAAACCACATCCACCAGAGCCTTGGGAGTGAAAGGAAGCACAACTCCTCGAGGCCACTCAGTAGGTGGCCAAGCGGTCCAGACTCACGTCCTCTCCCGGAATGGAAGAGGCGGGATGGGGAAGGGGTTGGGGGGGGACTCACCATGTCACAGAGGGCGTCGTAGAGGAAGAGGCCGGTGGCAATGGTGAAGATCCATGCCTCGAACTCTGGACCGGTGCTCACGCTGAGGGCGATGTAGAGGCCGATGAAGGCTGTCAGAGCGCTCCCAAAATTCAGCACCAAGGCCCACTTGACGCTCAGCCCGGCCTGCAGGAGCGCGGCAAAATCTCCTGCGGAGGCGAGAGGAAGAGCCAAGGTTAGAAAAACCAAGGCTGGTTGTAGAGTTCGTTGACCTTTTGCACGCTGTATTTTTGAGAGCTGGGAGCCAAGTTTTTTCACACTTTCCTCTTTTTTGTTGAAATTTTGCTGGTGCTTGTGGATTTCAATGGCTTCTCTGTGACAAGCCATTGAAATCCAAAAAAGACAAAAGCCTATCTCACAGCCATAAATACTGCACTCCCAAAGCCAACTACACCAGAGCACAGAGTGCTGTCCTCTGAAGATGCCCATGGCCACAGAGACTGGCGAAACGTCAGGAAGAACAACCTTCAGAACACGGCCAAAGAGCCCAAAAAACCCACAACAACCATTAGATCCCGGCCGTGAAAGCCTTCGTGAATATGTTGTTGTTGTTGTTAAGTTTTGTCTGTTGCTTTCCTTGTTTTTTTAAATGAAGAAGCAATAGGAGTTTATCACAGAATCACCCTTGCAGACAAACGGGTTGAGTCCCTTAAGTGAGTGCAGAACCGTAACAGAAGGGGCTTTTAAGAACCTAAATGCTGATCTCAGAAATTAAATGGGTTTAGGTACCGGAATTTCAGTTTATCAAAGCACGGGATATGTAAGAGCAAACTTGTTATAATGAGCACGATGTATTACTTCTCCCCTTCTCCAATCCACTTTGCCATTAGTGCTTTGTCAGTGCAGCCAGAGCAATGGGCATGCAGATGAACACAGATGAATGCATGGAAGGGGAGCAGCCATCCATGCCTGTAATGCCTCCTGGATTCCCTGCTGGACCACAACAGACACCAAGGCAGGAGTCGCTTGGAAAAGTGTGGGCAGAATCCTCTTGGGATTACATAGCGCAGACCACAACACCGCACGGCCACCGTGTGCAGTTGTGGTGGCACTATCATGCACACGGACACATCCCACATGCACGACAGCCAGCCAAAACACTGTAAGGACAATGTGTGGGATCTCTCCTGCACCTTGCTCAGTTTACAAAAGGACTGGCCTCTGTGTGTGCGCGTTGCACGCGTGCATTAATGCGCCACTGCCCCAAAGACGCCATCCTTCCTTCTGGCACGATACCTGGGCCACCGGCATACCTTAACCAGAGTGTGAAAGCCGTCCACCGACAGCTAAGGTCCAGGCTGGAGGACTCGAGAAGCAAAGATTGACGGTGAGAATGGCAGCTAAAACTGTCCCAGGTGCAAAACATTCCCTCGCCTTCCACACGAGAAGCAAAGATGGACGGTGAGAATGACAGTCAGCTAAAACTGTTCCAGGTGCAAAACATTCCCTCGCCTTCCACTCTCTCAACCCTTCAAGGTGGGTTTTTTGGTGCCGAGACTCAGGGGAGCTCAGCTTGCATCCTGAAAAGTGCCCTCGCTAGCCAAAACCGCCACCCCCCAAAAGGCCACAGGCAGGAAACACGCTCACACCCCCACCTAGCTCATGGGGCAGCTCATGGCACAGGACCGCCAGCGAGGTGGCCAGTCCCGTCCTCCAGGAGGAGGAGAAGGCGGCCCCCATGGCCAGTCCGTCGGCAAAGTTGTGGATGGCGTCTCCGATGGTGATCATGTAGGGCAGCATCCGGAGCTCTGCGGGGAGACAGAAAGGGAAGGAGGAGGTCAGAGAGTAGAATGAATGGGACTCAGCCTCGTCATCCTGTCGTTTTCCCCGCCTTCTGTCCCTTCGGCTCTGGAGAGCTGTTCTGGCGGGGAGGAGGCTGCCTCGGAGAAGCAGCAGAGGCCAATCCTGAACGATTTCCTGAGCTGTCAGCGAGAGCCTCCCCCCCCACCCCAGGGCTCCGAGGCTGGGAATTCCGTCAGTCACACACAATGCACCTTTTGTTCTCTTTGCTAAAGGGGGAATGCCAGGAATGGCCCAGTGGCCTAATGGATAAGGCATCAGCCTCCGGAGCTGGGGATTGTGGGTTCAAGTCCCACCTGGGTCGGACTGGTTCTCTTTTCGATTTGGATTTATTTTTCTTTTAAAAAGACACACATTTACGGCCTGGGGAAGAAAAAAAAGCAGGGGAGCTCAGCCACGAAGGAGGGAACAGAGGAATGAAGAGATGGCTGGCGAAAGTCCAACGAGGACCAAATCAAAGAGAAGCGTTTTAGGGGAGCTCAGCAGTTCAGGCAGCTTAAGGATCTGGAAAGATTTTAGCTGGAGAGCCAGGAAGGGTGAGTGCAGCATGGAGAGGTGACTTAACGGGGAAGGAAACTACCGTTCCCAGGAACCCTCGCCAGCAGGAAAGACTTGCCAAGCTGGCCGTGTGATTCAGGGAGTTAAGAGTAAAAAAAAAAAGAGGGAGAGAGAGTAAACTCCTCATGTTTTAGGGAATGAATGTCTGCTTTGGTACGCTGGACTGCCTGAGCACCTGGAATCTATGACACGACAGACCCTGATCGTAACACGGAAGAATCAGATCCCCAGCTCCCAGGACTGGTCCTGTTCAGGGCACTGTGCATGAAGGGGGCTGGATGCCCACCACAGCTAAAGCAGCTGCAATGGTTGGAGGGGCAGGGGGGGTACAAAGATGGGGGGGATCATCTGAGCTCGCATCCTGTTCCCAGGGGGCCATTTCATCAAAGCAGCTTCTTAACCCTGGAAAGCCTCCAGGGAGGTGTGGATTCCAGCAGAGTGGCCTTCTTCCTGCTCCTCCTCCTCCTCCTCACCTCGACTGCGCTCCTTCTTCCTCAGCTGGCTCACGTTGGCTTCCTCTCCAGAAATCTGTACAAAAGGACAGGCAAACAGAAAAGGAAAGTGAGCGGGTCCCTCCTTACACTTTCTGAAGGGAGTTTGGAAAAGTGGGTGTGTGTGTTTTTGGGGGTGGGTGAACGGGGAGGTGGAGGTACAACTCGGATATCCCTATGACCACCATGCTGGTTGTGGATACTGTGACATCCGCACACAGACACACCCCAAAAGGCTATTTGATAAGCTCTGCTTCTAAACTCTCAGGCTGGTGCAAACACATCCCGTGACAACGGCGGACGGAGGCTCCTGGCAGGCCTCCTCAAGAGAGACTCTGGTTCTTTCGGCCACAACAGACCAACACTCTTTCTGCATCACAAGACATTTGCATAAGAGAGGAACATTCTAATTAATGGGTTGCACGTCCGTCTGTGTATGCCAGTGGACAAATATGCAAAGACACCTGCCTTAAGCGAAGGTCACACAATGCCTAACTAGGTATGCGTTTAGCTCAAGGAAAGGTTTGCTGTTTGGATGTTGGGTGTTATATTTTCCTAGCTTTCAAGCCATAGTGTTTTACACCCAGGGAATGCGGTCCTTCCTCAAGAAAAAGCCACCGGCTGCTGCAGGGAATGCAGGCCCCTCCAAATCACAGCCGTGGATTCTCTGCGATGCCTTTAGTGTCCACGAAAGTTGAAGGTGAGCCACAAAAGCTCACCCTAAACACCGAGAACAAAGACTTTAAAATGCCGGAAGCGTTTGCTTGCATTCCATTGAGTCTTTGTTCTCCCTTTGCAAACAGTGAAGAACAGCAGACTGTTTCTGCCTCACTGGTCTGCACTTCCATTGTGTCTTTGCCACGGTCTTTTCTGTTCCATGTTAACCCTCAGGTGGACTTTTTTCTCTCTCTCAGCATCATGGAATGGCCGGGTTCTCCCACTTTTCGTTTCTCAAACATCCGCTGGCGTAGAAGTGATCCGGGAGAGGCAGGCGCTCACAGGTGCAGCAGCTGTTTTGCAAACAGACCCCGAGAAGCAGGAAGAGGGGAGACCGTCCTCTGGGGAAGGCCTTCGACTCAGGTGCAAGGAGCTGTCCTTTGCCATCAGAGATGCCATACGGACCTCTGAGATCTGACCCAAGCAACGGCAGATTCCTGTCTCCCTATACAGTATTTCCTTCGGGGCCTCTGGCTATTCATCCCTCCCCCATTAGATGGGGCACAATAGTCATGTTTCGTCTCTGCCTCAGGGGGTGCAATGGGACAGAAAAAGCAGAGCAGAACTCCACGAAACTTCAACTGGCTTTCTGCTACGGGCTGAGATGACTCACAGGCCCTGAAATGTGGGAAGGGGCCACCGGGAGGCTCCTACGTGTAGCCCTCTCTGGGCCTGAAGAGGCGAGGGGACGGCGGCCGTCGTCAACATGGGAAAGAGCAGCAGCCTTCTTTCTGTACGACGGGCGTGTTCTGTGCTGTCAAATCGGAATTGGCAAAGGCTGTGGCCACATGGGGCCACTGGAATACATTTCTGTTCAGATTTTAAAAAATCAGGTTTTAAAAGTCACGCGGCATTTAAACTGGCGACTGTGTTCACGTGCACCGACTGGAAACCGATTTATTTCTGGTGATGCCAACTGCGGTTGGCATGGACACGGCTGAAATCGACTCACTTCCACAAAACCATAATGGAATTGATCTGAGAAGCAAAATATTTTCTAAAAAGGCCAGTTTTTAAAAAAACTCACTTTGCAACCCATATGAATCGATGTCACCCTAGATAAAATCTAAATGAATTCAAAGACTTAAATGTGGTTCTTATTGCCAGTGTGGGGCTGCAGCCCCACAGCCGACCTTCATAGAGCTTTCAAGGTATGTGAGATATTTAGGAAGGGGCTCCACTCCCCCAGTGACTTTTTGTGGCCAAGTGGGGATTTGAACCCTGTTCTCCAGAGTCTCTCTCTCTGCTACAGTGCAGCTACTGGGAATCCATCCGTATAACTGCAGGTACTAATGTTCTCTCCCGTCATTCCAGGGGTCCCAGCGTCTGAGGCACCCCTGAGAGCCAGAGGGAGAGAGAGGGGCGGCCCCTCCACCAGAAGCTTGAATTACCAGGTCCGTATTGGAAGCTCCTTTCTCCTCCTTCCTCCTCTTCATCTCCTCCTGGTAGACCTGCAGGGCCAGGGCGTGCTCACACTGATGGTCTTTGCTGGGGGCAGAGGCCACCTAAGGAGACATAAAGGAGCATAGCCGCACCCGTCTGGCACAGAAAGCCACACGGCCGCACACCCCCCCCATGCCCCTGCCATCCACATCCGTTCTCCTTGCAGAAAGCGCGACCGGCTCACCTCACAGTCCCAGTGGCCCAGCAGGATGAATAACTTCTCGATGAGGAAGAAGAAGTAGAGGCCGGCCAGCACGGCCAGCAGCTTCCACACCACGGTGGGGTCATCGGCCTCGGGGTGCTCGTGGCCGTGCCCCGCGTCGTGCGAGTGGGAATGCAGGCCCAGGAACTGCAAAGGGGGGGGGAGAACAAACAGAGACAGGGTGTCACCGGGGGGGGGACTGAGCACTTGGGGCTCAAGCCAGGTGCTTCTGGTGCTTGGCACGTTTGCGCCAGCGCTTCTTTTTTCCAAACACGAATTTCCCCATCTTTTTCATCCAAACATTTTCCAACCGCCACTCATTCGTGAAGCGTGCTTGTTCCCTACCCCCCCCCCAGTGCCTGAGCTTCCCGACTCCGGAGTCCATGCAGGAAACAGATGGGGTTCTCTTTCTGAGCCATCATGACAAGGAGGCCAAAGGACATGGCTGAGAACTTTCGGTTTTGGCATCCAGGCAATTGGGCAGGGTGGCCACTGAGAGAGCAAAAGCCTCTTCCAGCAGCGATCCCAAGGAGAACACCCCCTGGAACGGGAGCAGAGCCTGACTGGTGGTGCTCTGGCGTGGCCCTAGAAGAGTGGAAGCACCACGCGCTGGCCCCTTCCACTAAAAGGCGCAGAGCCACGGAGCACAGGAAGCAGGGGACTAGGACACCCCACCCTGCTCCCCGCACATCTGGACAGAGGATAGAGGTCCCTGGCAAGCCAGCAAACTCAGCATCAGTGCCTAGCACTTCCCCCCCACACACACACACACTGATGCCTACCACCCACTCTTTCATTCAGGACCCTGATCTGAACATCATATGGCCAGGCTTCAGAGAGATACTCTGACAAGGTCAGGTCTTGGTTAATTATGGAAAAGGAAAAGGGCAACCTCTTTGTTAGCTGCCAGAGAAGCCTGTGGTGCCAAGAGGGGCCATGGGCACAGGAGGGCATCTGCCGGAAAGCAAGCTGCCAAGGGCCCCTGCGTGCCTGGAGGCAGGCCACGCCAAGGGCCCATCCACGGAAAGAAGCAGACCACGCTCCACATCTGTTCTCAGGTCGACACAGCTCGGCAGACATTCGCCGCCGCCCAAAGGAGCAACTCCTCACTTGTCCTGCAGGCACGTGCCATCTCTCTCTCCCCATCCCCTTGCCAGCCACAGAGCCCCCTGCCCACCTGAGCCCCCCCCGCTTCCACTAACCGTAGGGATGAGGTGCAGCATGGCATCGCCAGTGAGCGATCCCACCGCCAGGCTGACAAAGAGCTGGATCACGTACTGGTAGGCGGTGATGCAGGCCGTGCAGAGCAGGAGGACGATGCCGAAAAGCGAGCACAGGCAGACCACCAGGGTGGCCAACGAGCCGTAGATGAACTCTGGGGAGGCAGGAGGAGGACGGACGGGCCGTCAGGAACCAAGGCACACACACACACACACAGAATGAGCAGGCCACGGGCTGATAGACAAGGGAAGCAACCCATGCAGCCCCAACCTTTAAGGCCTCGTGGCCTCCCCCAGAAGCTGGCCCTTCGTCCCTCAGGGCTAGGGGGTTGCTACTCTGGCTAGGATCTTTCCCCACACCTGCTACCTTAGATTTTTTCTGCAGCAAGTTCAGAGGAGGGCACCGAAAGGTGATCTGGAGACCAGACACCAAGCCCCGGGAGGGAGGGAGGGAGGGAGGGAGGAAGGAAGGAAGGAAGGAAGGAAGGA